TTAGCTTTGGTGGCCTGGGGATATGGACCTTGATAGATGTACTACTGATTGGAGTGGGATATGTGGGGCCAGCAGACGGCTCCCTCTACATATAAGTTTTTACCCTCCCTCAGCCCCACCATCACCACCCTTTTGGACTCTAATCACCTCCATCAACATGCAACCATTCACATACGCCTTCCTATCCAAACACCCACTGCAGCAGACTCCAGTCCCATCTGCCGTGGGAAAATACAGCATTATGGGAAATCTGTTACACTGGGCCTACTCATTCCTCAGCATGCCTTCCTTTCTCCCCACTGTGTGTCCCACCATGGAGTGAGGAGGTGGAGCACCCTGGTGCGAGGTTAGCCGGAATCCGTGGGTCGGAGATCGGATGTCTTTTCACCGGGTGCGTAGAGTCACCAGCTTGGGTGGGGGTGACGGAGGCAGCAAGAGGTGGGCTGTTTGTGACATGGAGTGCATGGCGTGTGGAGTCCCTGAAAATGAGCACTGAAGATGGCTGAACTGCACTAGATCGATGGAAAGGTGGGCGGTGGACAGGAGATATCCAAGTTGGCAGCTGGAAGCACTAAAATGGAAATCTTGGATACGAGATGTAGTTTTTGTCCCGTGGAGTTGTTAGTCACAATCCTCTCTGGGATTTGAGACAACAGGATGGTTCTTCAGACTGTTATGGGCAAAAAATGCTCTTCCTTTTATTTTGCTAGTTGGTGAATTTACCCACATCAAGGTATTTGGCGAAGACCGTTTTGGACCTTCCAGCCAAGCGGCTCATTTTCTAACACAATGGTTGTGGCATTATGCTTTTCACGGTTCAGTTTTTGGAAGTGCAACAATCTTTGATGTGATTTACAAGCATCTGTGTAAAATTTAGTGGAATGATAGCAAAGAAGGATAAATGTGTTATTGAGTCTGTTGTCCAGTGCATGACTTAGTAACTTTGTTTTCCTCAAGATCTCACCTTTATATATAAAAGTACTGGAAATTAAAATTTTGAGTTTTTCTACTCGTGTTAAAAAGACTTCTGGGAAGTCTAATGTACAGAATTTAACTTATGTTTTTCCTGTTTGTTTGGCTGTTTCCTTTTAAAGTTATTTTTTTGGCTATGAAGCTGTCTGCTTATTCTCCATTCATACGTCGGTAAAAAGCCACATGTCAGTTAAGTGGTTTTTAGCAACAATCCAATGCTGATTTTTATCTGGAGAAACTCAATTAAATTTGATTCCCCTCCCAGTACTTCATCAGGTCTTCTGATCTTTATTTTTAAACGGTGGATTTTGGTCAAAATATCTATAGTGTTTGAGTGTTTGTTTTGAATTAGAAGTTTAGCCAGAAATCGCTGGAAAATCTGTGTAGCTTTTATGACTTAATTTGGCAGTTATGTGGGGAATGTGGCCTCGCCGAGATGAATTTCTAGAGCAGCTTCAAGTAGCTTCTCATCACTTAAGCAAAGAACTTTGTGTGCACCTCAGGACTGTTTCTCTAATGAACATTTGCATACATTTTCGACTAATTCCAGTGGACCTCAACCAGTTGGGGTTATGCATAGTAATACTACTGTACCAAATGCTTCGCCTTTGCTCTGGAACTTCCTCCCCGTTTGTTAATCCATTTCAGGAAAATATTCTCTGTGCAAATTATAAATAAAGTGTGAAAATGATCTGGTGACCTGCATAACTGAGCAGAAATATTTGGGGTAGGGACCTAAAGCCTGTGTACGTCGTGGAAACTCCTGGCCAGAAGCAGTGGAGGTCCTCGCCTTCAGTCCGGCGTTTAAAATGTTTGTGATGATGTAAAAACATCAGGTTTGCCCTGTAGATATACCACTAAATGTTCCCCTGTTGGTTTAACATGACTCCTGTGTGCCCTAGCGAAGTAAAAATCGCTACAGGCCATAAAAATTTGCATGTGTTACAGAAGATTGGAGAAATGTAGGTGTCGATGGTACTCGTGGTTTGGTTCATGGTGCTGCTATGATTGTGGGCACTTTGCTGTTGATTAGTTTGGCAGTGCCCAGCTTGATGTGAGAAAGTATTGTAAATAAAGTAAATTTTACTACACTGAAATATGTAAATAAAATGCAATGAAGGAAATATGTGCTTGGAAACGAGGCACTAAAGTATACAAATGTATTTGGATTGAGAAGGTTTCGTTCATAGTGTTATGTAACTGCAGTGTTAAAAATCAATTATCATCCTTAAAAAGATTATGCCGTGGACGTCTGATCACACGCTGGTTATTTATTCTTCAAGGATTTGGATTTATCGTCTTTGTCAAGTCTGGTCGTATCATGTGGTGAAAACTAATCAGCTAGATTAATACTGTTTACAGAGCTAAGCGCAGTCGCTGTCTAGCTGCACACATCACAAGAGGGAGCCAGTAAGTAGAAAGTTACTCTCCAGAGTACTTGAGTTTTAAAATGAAAGGACTAGTGGTTTTGTAGTATTATTATTATTAATACTAATAATACTAATAATAATTATCTTTTTTTTTTTTTCAATTTTCTTAATATCAAAGATTTTATTTTCTTAATAATAATAATAATAATAATATTGTTGGATTGTTTCAACATTTGACATATTTACTGCAATCTATCATACTGCTTGTAATGACAGCAGATACTATGACACAATGGCTGGTTGTAAGAAGGCCAGTTGACAGTTTGTGTTCTGTTTCATGAGCTGGCAAACTATAAACTATATTATGTTGTTTTGATGCTGATATTTGGCAACGCCATTGTTAATTTATGTTCTGTGTTGGATCATCTGTAGAGCCATATGACAGGGAGTTACTTTGATTACCAGTGTAGGTAAACAATTTAAATTGTTAGGTATGGAGAACTTTTACTGCACCGCTACCAAGATAAATATCGCTTTTCTCTCCAACTCTGAAACACGTCGAAACAATGACCCTCTGAAGAAAGTGAGAAAGGAAGCCAGTATAGGATTCATAAGACATTATGCTTTGAATCCTTTGGGGAGCAGGATTACGTGTGTGACAGTCAGCTTCAAAGCCTTGTCTTTTCCGTAATGGCTACAGACAGCACTCTTTATAGTGTACAAACCAATGCAGAACCATGAAAGGGGTCCAAAATTGTGCCGACAGATTTAATAGGAGCTGATGATGCTCGTGGTGCGGCTGAGGTACGTTGCTGAGCCTTTCCCCACGGTTGATTATACATTTCATATTTTAGATGATTTTGTCCTATATTTCTTTGTAGTGTTCTTTTTACACGACATGTTTAGTCACACGGGTCTAACACAGAGAGAAGACCTTGATTGATTATGAGTTTTTTATGTTTTATATCAAAGAGCTTTTCAGCCCTAGAGACAGAAAGTAGTTTTAGGCTATTATATGCTCATTATTGCTATTCGGCCAAAATAGGTTAGTCATGGAGAGCACGAGGTTCTCTTACTCACAGTTTTGTTTACAGACCTTTCCAATCCAACAAGTTGGTAGTGAACGGCTGTTTTTACGTTGAGCTCTACTTCAAGGGAAAGAATTTGAGAACTTGTTTAAACTGCTGCATGCTGCACAGGCGTGGTCGAATTTTCTTAGTTCCCCCATCTCCACACACAAACGCAGACGTGGGAGGGTCAAAGCGAGAGAGAAACATGCTCTGATGAAGGAGCTGGAGACAGATTTTCACACTGCCTCTCCCACATTCACACTGTCACACCAGCAGCATGACACAACACACACACAAACACATGCAGCGGCTCACAAATCCAGTGCATTTATGGCAGAACTGTACTGTGGGTTGTCTCCTTATACTGCATCGTGATTTTATTGATTTCGAGTTACCTTTGCCTTCTCTGTATGCTAATAATCTGGAGCTAGGAAAGTCTGCAAATTTTCATATTATGTCAATGTTCTCCTGCCTGTGATAGGAGTACCTTGTTTTCAGGTTAGGGGGTCGTTATGCCTTCCTGCCTGGCTGTGTCAGGAAGGTTGTCAGTTTGAATCTCATGACCAGCAGAATATTCAATATCTCTGGGCCCCTTGGCTGGCCCTGTGCTATGACACAAAGCTCAGTCACCTGTATACAGGCATGCAGGTATTGAATTCCATTGTACTTGGTACCTGTACTATGACTTAAAAAATGCATTCTATTCTATAAAAGTGAACGTATGGTGCCTGAAGGTACTGCGAAGCAGCTCACTGCAAACAATACACTGTACAGAGGGAGGGTGTTTGCGTTTGACTCAATGTTCATTACCTGCGTCACTGGCAAATGCCAGAGTTTGTCAGACCTAGGCGCGCTAAAACTACTTGATGTTGGAGATGCGATGTGAGGAACTATTTTGCATTGCAGATTCAGAAGAGGAAGCAAAGCTGTGGAAGACGACTCATGAGTTAGATCTGGGCGACGCTGGAGAATTTTAAAGCTATATCAGCTGAATAGCCAGTCCCCACTATGGGTGCTGAAGTTCTGTAGCAGGGGTGGGTGGTCTCATCCGCAAAGGGCCCGTGTGTATGCAGGTTTTAAGGGTAATTTTTTGGTCAGCTGTTTGGACCCAGTATGAGATCTCTTCAGCCAATCAGTCCTCTAATTAGTAAACTACTTAAGGAGTAAAAACTTACAATGGCCCTTTCTGGAAAAGACTAGCAAACCCTGGTCTATAGTCACTGAGATGCAGGACTAGAGAGCAGGAACCCCAAACCTCTCTGGGAAATCACTTTCTGCACATTAAATAAGCCAAAAGGGAAAAATGCAGTAAAAAAACAAAAACCCACAAAAAACTTACTACTATGTGAAGGCCCTAGTTCCACCATGCAACCAATGCCAGTGATGATCCACATTTAATTTTAAACAATAGTGTGTCAGGGGTATTTTCCATTAAAGATTATACTATTCATCTGTAAATAAGCACCTTACAGAATAATTAACGCATTTAGATCTATGGATATGAATTCTGAGAGAGAGAGACCCACACACTGGCATTTTTAATACTGAGGGATCCAAGTATTTGGTAATGACCAAAAAGACTTTTGGGTGCCAATTAAAGTATTTATTTTTACAAGGACACATACACATTTCATTGGCCCAGATCAGACATGATACACCCCCCCAGTCACAACTGAGCCTATAAATTACCAACAAGCCACACCCACCCCCCACCCTATGCTCCACACAAAAAAAAGTCACACCAATTAAAATAATAATTAAAACAAAAAAGGAAGAAATGCAAGGGATAACAGAATCCCCCACTGGTGTGACAAAGGATTTCGTTCAAACAGCAAGTCAAACTTGCAAAAGGTCAATGGAAAATGCTTCGCTGATGCTTTCCGTCGATAAGCCATCCATCTAGAGACGGACATTGACAAAGTGCGTGTGTCACTGTCAGTTGAGGTCCCTTTCTTACACGAAAGCCAATGAATCAGCAAATGGCCCCAAATCGATAAGAGTTCTTAACAGTCAGGATTTCTCAGAAACCAGGATGAAGAAAAAAAAAATAAGTCTTGCAGTTAGGCCATTGATAGCATATAATCACAGGTCACAAACCAAGTCAACATGTAGACAAACCAAAACGTGCTGGTACAGATCTGCCATACTTTATATACTGGAATAGAAAAGAAAAATAAAAAAATATTCCATCGTCCAGGGGGTAGGAAGAAGTTATTTTTGCAAAGTTAATGGGCAAGGTCGGGGGGGGGGGGCGTCATCAAGAAGTATGGCACTTCCCACTTTACACAGCTGGGGTTTGGGGGGCCACAGCCTTGCAGCGCTGCTCCATGGAGCCACTGTGGAAACCACGGGTACCATCAGGCCCGCGGGGGAGGCGCAGAACCCCTGGCGGGAGCCCGTCTGCGTTCTGGATCTTGCGGCCTAGCATCGGACTGCCTGATGGGCTGTTCTCCTGGGAAGCCACCTGGCGGCGCCGTTGCACCCAGGGACTGCCGGAGGGAGTCACACTGCTGTCTGAGGAGTAGTCCGCCCACCGACGTCCCGAATCGGGGCTTAGGCGGCCCTCTGCAGCCAGGGGAGACTTGTTAGTGCACAGGGCGCGGCGCTGGGAGCAGGGGCTGGCCCTCGGGCTGGACCAGGGGCTGGTGCGCGGTGACGCCGTGGGGCTCAAGTGGTTCTGCTGATAGCCAGAGCCACCCGTGGGGCTCAGCTTGTTGCCGGAACGTGCCTTCCGGGCCAGCCGGGGCGAGGTGGGGTTGCTCTCCGTCTCGGAGGAGCTGCAGGCCGAGTCGTCACCCTGGTACTGCAGCTCCCGCACGCGGCTGTTCAGGGAGCGGTTCTTGGCGGCGCTGCCCTCGTCCCTCTGCCGTTCCTTGGTCACCTTCTTCTTTGGCGGCTTGGTCCCAATCAGCACCACCTTCACCCCCAGGCTGCCGCCACCCACTGCTTCGTGAGCCCGGATAGCGGCTTCCACCTCCTCGAACTCCACGATGGCGCATTCCTCCGTGCCCAGCTGGGTGTAGCGGCCACTCAGCTTCTTCAGGTCAGGCGCTAGGTCCTTGCCGGGTTTCAGGACGCGCACAGAGGCGATGGGCCCGTAGGTTCCGAAGGCCCGCAGCAGCACCTCCATTGGATGCTCCTGTTGGGTGGTACCACCCCCTTCGGCTCCTCCTCCTCCTCCATTAGCCATGCCCCCTTCCCCTCCCATCAGGGCTGTCCCCAGTTCAGGCCAACGCCGTAGATCATTCAGCAGCAGCATGCGGCTGGGCAGGCTCTCGCTGGCGAACACGGGCACCGCCGAGCGCCGGCGCACCTTGCGGCCCTCCTCATTGAGCTCCAGCAGCGCAGACTGCCGCAGCGCATGCGCCGTCGTCCGCCAGTCGCGCGTCAAGTGCTTCACCTGAAACGAGAGGCCGTGCAGAGAACAGGAGATTGATGCAAACGCAGAAGCATCCTGTTCGGTGAGAACCGTGCTTCCTGAAACAGACACCACACTCTCTCGAGATCAGCAACATCGCCTGCTGGCAAATTCGGGTTTAGGCGACTCGTTCTCGCAGCGACGGACACAGCTGCGCGTGAAATGCCACAGCACTCGTTTCTGCCATTACTGCAGATGGCTTTCTCAGCAGGTTTAAGGCTTTGCACGCTGACATTAAAAAAATATTAAAAAAAAAAAAGACAAAAACACAGCTAAATGCAGTATTAAAATGACACCGTAACTATGACGCCAGGAAGTATCAAAATAAGTGCCTTTGCTTCAGAGGGACAAAACCAGCCTGCAGTAAATTCCAATGTCATCTAAGGCTTTAGCCCATTGGTCAGTCTCATGACGGGGGCGTGGCTGTCAGGCGGTACCTTCTTAAAGGAGGTCAGCAGCTTGACGCTGACGTAGCCCAGCTTGTTGCGGCGGACGTGTTTCAGCAGAAAAGCATCGTGCTCGAGGTTCTCATCAGACAGGTAGTACTCGATCTGGGCCACCAGCTTCTGCATCAGCTCTGCATCCGGCGGAACCCAACTCTCCTCCTCTTCCTCTTCTTCCTCCATCTCCCCACCACTTGTGCCCACACCGCTTTGAAAAAGCCCATAAACAAAAAGGTTACCTCAGCCACCAATGTGACCCATTATACCCATGAAGTGCCACACACACAGGAAAACTATTGAACTGCAAAGCAGTTCATTTTGAATTTATCTAATGAATCCATCCACAGGTTTACTACCAAAAAACAATCAAGTTCTAAATTGGACTTCAGTGGATGACTCACCATCCCCCCTCCCCCCCCAGGAAGCTCTACTCCAACTGCCTAGATGGATCCAGTGCATTACCGTACGTCACAGCAGAAAGCATGCCACAGTTAAGCTTTTGTAAAATTGTGTATAAAGGGGAAAACCTCATCCACAGCAGACTGCCGGGAGAACTCCCACGCAGATACCTCAAAAGCGGCACCATTCAGGTCAGATCCGTCCAGCCGTGACTCATGATATACTTCCCCTCAGGTACAGGGAAAATACTCAGCAAAATCTAATTACGCTGAATGCATTCTGTCTAAATAGGTTTTTTTCCCCTTGATTCAACTCAAAGCCCTGACCTCGAAGAAAGAAACTGAAAAGATAGGTTGCGTGCCTGAGATGACTACACTACAGAGAAATCGGAAATGTAATACAAAAATACACGCATTGCACGTAGAGTATTTCGGTACCGTCAGCTATTAATACAAAATGCATAGCAGGACATGACGCAAGGCTATTAAGCAACAAGTATAAGAAGGTGAGGCGGCAGACTTAATTCAGCAAGACCGTTTGGTTATTTACGTCAATGAGGTTAATGTTACATATACTTAAGGTTTAACAATACGAGTATTACAAGTTACACAAATCATAGCGGTACCATAATTCTGCTCATTCAATAGCATGATCAAAATAGTTCTGAAACTCAAGCAATAGGGCAACCTAACCTGCGGGGGATTTTTTGCGATGTTAAAAAAAGTTATGCATTGTTTAAATTACCCGTGTTTATCCGATCTTCCAAAGTCGTCCTCGCTGCAGCTGCCTCCGGCTAAGTCCAGGTGGTTCGTCTGCGCGTCCTCCCCGGGATCCTCATCCTCAGCCGCCTGGATGGCCACCGTTATCCGCACCCGAGTGCCCATCTCTTGCAGCTGACTGTCAGTAGAGACGTTTCGGTCACCTGCATCCGGCGTGGGCTCGGCGCAGTCGGGGATGGCAGCCGCCGCCGCTATGGCGCTCATGCTGCCTGCCGTTAACGCTTGTGCCGCAGCTCTGTCCGCTTCCTCTTCGCGGGCGCTTCGCTCGCTCCCCGTCGCCACCGCCGCGCTTCGCCCGATGCCACCCCCGTCAGCGGCCGAGTTGCGAACGGGAGGATACGGGGTGTCCGCCGATCGTCCCTTTCGACAACGCCGCCGGTAGAGGTGGACGGGGACGACCAGGACGCGCTCCGCTGCTCGCCACAGCTCCCAGATCCTGCCCCACGGAGAGCCCCGGGGCGACGCGGGGCCAGCGGCCGGCGAGACGAGACTAGGAGCGGCGGAGGCGAAGGGGAGGGACGTGTCTTGCGCGCTCACTTCCTGATGTGTAAGAGGCTTTTTCCCTTTGAATCGGGCTCTTGGATTGGGCCATGCCGCCCCCCCACACTCATCCCCACGCCACCAGGGGGACGGAGCGAGCAAAGAAAGGCAGCGCAAAAACACGCATATCAGCGCATGCATACTCCTCTGTGTCTTCCTCTTCTTCTTCTTTCTTTTTGGTTCCTTAAAGACCCAGCTGTTGGCTAAGTGGTTTCTTTATAACCAAGTAATGAAGTAAATCCTCCATTTTAAGTGGCATCAATGGAGTGCAATCAGGGGGAAGCGGTGCGCCAATCATTGTTTTCTAAATCTGTAAATTGAATAATAAGCTCTAACATTCGGGACGGACTGGTGGCCGGAAGATTTCTATTTTAAGGACGAGGAACTTGGAACTGCACTTGAATTACTGGTCCGTTTTTATCTGATTGCGCTGTGGTTTATTATATTATGCTCTTATAGTTTTTATTAGTATTGTGTATTTTTTGGTAACAGACAGTCTTAGAGTTGGACATGACTGATCTGATCATTGTGTATGGTTGCCCTCTTCCATGGTGTGAGATGATACATCCCTTATGTCAAGCCCCCACGCAAAGGCTGCCCACCCACCACCAGCTGACACGGAGCCCCAGCAGCATCAGTGTGTTGTAAATGTCCTGCCCCCCGCCCCTTTTTTGATAACACAGATGCGCCTGGTAAGTCACGTGCAAACATGGCCCATTCAGCCCCCCAGGTTACTTTCTCCTTTGCTGTCTGCATGATGACAGATTACAGATCTGCACTTTTCCGTTGCATGTGTTGTGGTTTCTCTGCCTTTTATAGTGCAGTGTAAAAAAATGAATAAACCGCACGTATCCTTCAGTGGCCGGTGACTGAGTCTGGTGGAGATGAAGCGTGTGGGTATTTGGTGGAGGTGTGTCACAAAAATATCGGGTCAGTGGTAGTTTTGAGTCAATCCATAGTGGCGCTGAGAGTAGAAATCACTTCCATTTTAACAAGAGACCACACCTCCCCCCCACCAGGTGTCGATTCAGGAGGGCGGAGAATTCCCTTCCCACTCTCCTCATCGCATGTTTTTTTTTTTTTTTTTTTTTTTTTAAATAATGACTTTCTGTGTTATGTATGTTCGGTTTATCTCCATCTCTTATCTACAGCTCTGTCTCTCACTCCCACATTCCGCAGCTCCTTTCACTGATGCAGTTTTGTTAAATCCCCGTGCTTTGTGAGGCGTGCATTGTGTCTTACTGTCGTTCGCTGAATGCCGCGTTTCACCAGAGGCACTTGTTACGTTTTCCCTCTGAGTCAGATGAGCTATTTATAGATTTCTATATCCAGGATCGCTCAGGCAGGCCGGTTTGCCTATATGTTACACAATGCAACAGACGCAGTTTCGTTCACGCCGGTGTCTTCGCGGCACATGATCTCTTGCATGGTGATTCATATAATATGCTTAAAGTACTGCAAGACCAACGCGTGGAACATGTGAAGCATAACAGATAACATGCTTATAATTCCTGTCAGAGGGAATGATATAATAACTTACGTAAGTTTAGCATACCGGTGTAGAGTCTATTCACTGTAAAAATGGGGAAAACACAGTATTATATCTACATATTCTGGATGACTGATTCCATACATGCATAAAAGTGAATAGGCCTAATTGTCAATCATGCTGCATTTATGAAGAGTGAAGTTGATGAATGAACAATGAGTTGTACACGTAATTTGTAAGAAACAGCCCTTGACGTGGTGGATGTCTTGTTGATTGGCCGGGGAGGGTTTGTGCCACAACTTCTGTTGACACACTGAGAGGCCGTGGGCGATGTGATATGCCTCATCACCTGGTGACTCCATTTTTGCGCGATCATTATATAGAGTCGCAGTTTTTTTTAATAGCACACAGGTCGACAGAAGGTAAAGATAAATGCCAACCCAGTGAAGAGACTATCATATGTTTAAAAAAAAAAAAAAAAAAGATGTGCCAGCTTGAAAACATGTTATCCAATTATTTTGATACTTTTATTTAACGCAAGATGAATAGTCCGTTATATTTGCCATAGGCCTACTTCATGAACCGTCGCGCTGATCTAATTCCACACTGAAATGGATTGTGTACGACCGTTTCAGACAGACACGATTTAAAAATTTGATTAGCTTAATTATGTAAATTTACTTTCTATTTCATCACGTTAAGCAACTGGAAACTTTACCAGAACAACTTATATTAAATTCTTTCATTGCTCAAGGGACCAAGACGCCCCTAGTATAGTTTGACACGTGCATATATATTCTTACCACATGGCCAGCTGTTTTCATTGAACCGTCTCGTTATATAAATTTTAGCTAGAAATGGGTATTGATTCGCCGGTATATGGATTTAAAATTATTTTAAAATGTCTGACATTCACTCCGTTCAGATTTAAGGCGAGTCTAGGAGTTCGGTTATCATTAGGCTACTTATTGATACACATGGAATTAGCTGCCAGAATTAGGTTTGGTTATTCCATTTAACTATCGGGGTTGTGAAAACAGAATTGTTACAGTTCTAAGCCAGATATATAACGTATAATTTACACAGCTAGGTTATGAGCCCATTACCAGCTTTAATGTTTATATAAAGAAAGATAATAGTCCTACGACTTTGCCATTCATTTGTCAAAGGATTGACGATGGGAAAGGTTTTAGCTACAAAATATTTGATTAGAAAATATTTGCTCAAAAATTATTACTGTTTATTGTTGTTTCAATATCGTTTTATTTTGATTAACAAAGTGAAATATAGGTCTAGATATACGTATTCTATTCGATGATCCAACTACAGTACATCCATCTTCCAGCCCGGAACCAACCCAGGCAGCACGTACGAGAGTTTCAGTTTCATTAAAATATTTTTACCTTCTTGATTTAATGATTCCATAATGATTCGTACTCGCGCCGTGTTCATACCGGAAGATGTTGGCGGTGACACAGGATGTCGCGGTAACCAACAACAAAATATCTCCGTTGCTACGGCAATTTAACCCAAATACTGAGACCATATTTATGCTTAAAAGGATTGAGAAGGATTAAAAAGATATAAATGATGGACTGTAAGACCGTGGTAACAGAAATTTCTGAACCTTGGGTATGTAGGTATATCAAAGATTAAACATCTTGCTTGACTTAAAAGAAATAAACAACATAGAAAAGACAGTATTACTTTTAATGTTTTTAAGTCAAGTTTGTAATGCGGCCTTATAAGCATCAGAGCAGTCATGCGGCTCGATTTCTCAATCAAGCGGTAAGTTTTACCATGCATGTTTTTTTAAGTTACGGTGAATAAATAATGATCTGTATCTTGCATTTTATTGTGAACATTTAGTCACATGTCATCACATTTAAATTAATATTTCAGAAGCCTCCCGGAGAAAGAACACACAACGCCTGATAATTCCCAAAGTTTAAATAATTAAATAGCCTATTTTATTAGACAACAACGACATCTATAGCTAGGCGGACTTAAACTCACACATGCATCTACGTGTATCATATATTAAATATGGGGAAAATAAACAGAAATAAAAGCTTGGAAGACACGTATTCGGGTCTGGGGTACATATTAAGTTACAGTTTCCATGTGCAGGCACCAGTTGCATTTACACACAATTTACCTTTTATTCTAATTCAACTTCCTTCACAATTTTTCCAGCAGACAAACAGCTACAAATTACAACTGGCAGCCTTAAATTCACTTTTACCAGAGAGACATGCCCAGAGACAGGTGAATATATTTCAGTGATTGATACTTTTTTTTTTGCAGTTATGTCAATAATGAATAATTTCAAAATGCATTATAATTATTTGGTCTCTGTTAGAATTTACTTTAAAATACTGACTAAATAAAGCCAACAACAGGAAATAAAATGTACTTTCTAAGCAAGTTTCAATATCTCTTATCCGGCAATGAATTGTATTTATTTATCTTTTAGCTGGACTCACGGTTCCCTAAAGACGCTTCCCGAGAACTCTCTATTGACTCATTGAAGGTGACCAATCTGCGGCAAGGTACCATTTCATCAGTCCCTTTTTAGAAGTGTAATGAAATCATGGCACACGTTGTGGTTTATAATCCCTAGTTGCTTCGTTGCAGAAAGCAAGCGCACTGCTCACAGTGACAGAAGGGCCACACGGGTACCTGCGCTGGCATTTGAGCTCGTGGGCTTGGAGCGAGCTTTTTTGCCCCCTCCTGCTGTTACCCCCCGCAGTTACCCGAGGCTGGCAGCGGACGCAGGCCCCCCAGCATACAGAGCCAGGCCAGCCCATGGAGCACACAGCGTGGGGTCCGTTTATACCCCGAACAAAACCCTTCTCTCCCACCCCACAGGTACGCTGACATCACTCTTCTGGCTATGAAGCATTATGAGAGAAAGCACTGCGATACAACTGTAGTCTGAAAAAGACATTTAAGTTGAGAGAATGATCCATAAACCCCTGGAGACTTAAATGTCTGTGCTGCTCCTGTATCAGGTGATATGGCACCTTTACTGGAGACCTCAGTTCCCAGTTTCCCCAAGACCCTCTGTTCCCAGGATGACTGTTCCCACTACCCAGAGCGCCTGGACCTGGACAGGTAAATGAAGGTCCGACGCTCCTTTGCTTATTGATGTTAATCTGCACAGTTTGGATGATTTACGGAGCTTTTCTCTGTGCCAAAAAACCCGCAATACTGTTAAGAAAAGAGAATGAATATTAAAGTCCTATAAAAGATTGTGCCTTATGAGATAAACATTCATAGTTTATAGTTAATCTACAGCAGTGGTTTTCAACCTGTGGGCCGCGGCCCCCTAGTGGGCCGCGACGGTATTGCAAGGGGGCCGCCAATTATTATTAATAGAAATTGTAATATTGTTAATATAATAAAAAATGTCTAGTCAAAATCAAATAAATCATAATTTGATATATAATTAAATAAATTACCAGTTTATTCAATAAAGACAATTAACAGCCTTGCTTCCGAGTACTTAGCTAACCCGACACAAAAAGCGGGATCGTTTAAATTCTTTTGCAGTGGGCCGCGGAAACGTATGTGTTTGGCTGTGTGGGCCGTGAGTTAAAAAAGGTTGGGAACCACTGATCTACAGTATATGAAAGTTTTGGCGAGTGTCTTTATTTAGGCATATATTAAATTCAGTATTGACGTTTGTATGGGTGAATGTCCACTTTACATCTAGGAATTCAGTGCAATGTCTGTATTTTGCCTGCAGGCAGCAGTAAAACTGTTTTTAAAAGTAGCCATGTTTTCTGGAAGTTGGAACTGCTGTTTATACGCTAAAGCTTCTGAAGGTTCATGTTTCCACTTAAACTGTAGAACAGCTTTAAACAATAAAGAATGAGATTACTGGCTTTAATGAGCAATTATGATTCCTAAAAATGTACAGTTACATGCCATTCATCTTCAACTCGGTAACACGCGTCACTCTCCACTGTGACCACAAAGGGCTGAGGCTGAAGTTCTAAACGTGTGTTTCTCTGAAATAGGCGTGGCCTGGAGAGGTGCCCCCTAGTGGAAGGTGGGGAGAGGCTGCGTCTCCTCAACCTCCAGCACAACCTCATCTCCCAGATCCGGAACCTGTCGCACCTGCGGTGCCTCGTGATCCTGGACATGTATGACAACCGTGTGGCCGAAATGTCCGGCATCTCTGCCCTCAGCTCTCTGCGGGTGCTCCTGCTGGGCAATAACAGGTGTGAAGGGGGGGGAAAGGGGTTCGCCTAGTCCTCGTAATGTCTACCCCATAACTAATTAATCGCTTTATGATGGCATATGTATAATTTAGCTGGACGGCTATTAAAAGCTAATTGCACTGCCTGCTGGGAAGTTGTGCATGTAACTGGCGATTATGGGGGATGCAGGTCAGTCACATGCAAACTCTCCCCTAACCTGTGACTAACAATGAATCGCACATATGACCAAATCATTCATCTATCTGTCCGTCTGTCTGTATAAAGTAAATATATATTAAAATAAATGTTGGCCGGCTGTATGTCTGACACTGCAATGTTACGTAGTGCGTGCCGCAGGCTCTACGGTTGTTGCTATGGGGAAGAACTGTACTGTGTTGCCGTGTGACCATCCCAACCTCACATGCACCTCCCAGTCTTATTCTCACACCAAAAAGTCAGTGCGATTATCCTATTCCAACATGCGTCCTTTTCATCGTACAACCTGTCTGTCGGAATGGAACCCGGTTGTAAGTCGAAGGCAGTCTGTACTGGTTATATATTGACATAATATGTAAACTACAATCCCAAAACAGGGGTACAAGGAAACCTGGTCAAAAGTCTTAGATATTGCTAATTATTTTAGGGGGTTCCTAGTTTACTCTAATAGTCTTCTACACATATCCAAGGATGGTCACCTTTGGGCTGTTGATTTTAAGCAAGATTGTGGAATTTTTACCAGCTTAATATATATTTCCGGAATGTAGTGACACCTAACAAGATGTGTAAAAATATTTTGCTTTTGTTACTTATACATATACAAAGGCAAAGAGAAAATTTACAGTATGTGTATTTGACAGGTTGCTGCTCCAACCAATTGCACACATATTAAGTTACTTATACATATATAAGCCTCCTTGGAAATCCGATCTGGCTTTAAGTCTGAGAGTCAGAACACAAAAGATTAGCAGTCGCTAATCATGGAGGTGGATTCCATGAGGAATGTCCTCAACTCACTTTGGCCTTTTTCCAGATCTATTAAATGTGGAATTTTAGTTTCAGTGCAGTTACCCCAAGCAGTTACTGATGCCTTTCATGAGGCGCATACCGTGGGTTTGGGTTTTGACTGGAACTGTAGCAGGAATGAAACCCCCACCCCCCACCTGCCTGCCTGATGAAGGCGTGGCGCCTTTCCCGGCCCCCTCCCCGCCTGAGAGAACCTCGCACGCACACCGCACACATTCCTCAGCTTGTTTTACACCACCAGTGTTAATTGTAGATGACGGTGAGGAGGGGCTTTGATTGACACGATAAGCTTTGTGAGGATGGATCTCATGGCTTCTAATACGTGTTCAGTAGGTTGCTGAGCACCTCCCAGGGAGAATGTGGCTCCTTTCTGCTGTCTGGCCCCTTCACCAGTATCTCTGAGGGGGCCTTGCTCTGTGCAAATGGGGGACACTTGGTAAACAGTCTGCAGGAAGTACGACAAGCCGGCCCTTTGGTCTTTTATTGCCTTCCTTTCTGACAACAGCCGTGGGCCTGCAATCTAAATATACTGTTTAAATGTGAATAGGTGCTTTTATATGGGATGTGAATGTAAATGTGACATTTTACTAATCGCTGTCTCTGTTTTACCAGTTTGGTTCTGATAAATCAGTTTGCTTTACCGGATATATATATATATATTTTTTTCAGAATCAAGAAGATTTGCAGCTTGGATAATCTCATGAATTTGGATGTTCTGGACTTGCATGGGAACCAGGTTTGTTCAGCTTGCTGTGGTTCTGTTGCACCTTGACGTACATCATACCTGAATATCCATACTGCCATGGTGCATCGCACAGTAAAAGGGCTCCTTCAAAATTAAATATAATGATATAATGGTTAGTGCATATGCAGTATACTTTCGACTCCCTCTTTATCCTCTGAGTTCCTGTTCTTACAGCTCTTAATTCCATGTGGTTTAGTTCCAGCCCAGTGCCCGGCATGTTGTACAAGGCTCCCTTTGAGCTGGATTATTCCGCAGGCATTGCCAGGGTCGAACCCTGGCTTCCTGACACCCCTGAGCTACAGGAGGCCCACTATGCCATCCCAGTGAGGCCTCCCACGCAGGCTAGCCCACCGCAGCTCCATCAGTAAATGCTGGCCAAGCAGTCCCTATTATCCAGTGCTTCTTTGCCAAGCGGGTGTTCCCAGCCACCCATAGTCTACAATGGGTAGAAATCACATCTATTCATTCCCATTGACTGCTATGGAATCTCTTCAGCAGAGCAACTGATCACAGGCCTGATTTCTGGGTTTGCAAGCTTTTCAGCTAAGGAAGGTTTAATTAAGAAACAAACAAAATGGAGGGTAATTGCACATATTCAGAGTTGCACATCTGTATATGTGTGATCAGAAGGTCGTCGGTTCAAGCCCCATGGCTGAGATTTCACCGTTGAGCTCTGGAGCGTGACCCTTATGTCCAGGTGCTCCAAGGGCCCTGTCTGTTCCTGCTCTCTCATCCTCCCTTGTATGTTGCCTTGGGCAAATGCATCTGCTAAACACGTAAATGTATAGTTTTCCACTTCTTCCCACATACAAATTTGTTTCTTCTTTTTGTGCCAATCAACATTTTGCAACCTGACCTGCCCCAGAAGAGAGAGGTGTAATTGAAACAGTCGAGTGCTGAACAGGAAGTTGTGCGAGTGTGGAATTTGTGGGGACTCAGAGGGTCCCTGGCTGCCGGCGGCCGTCCCACATTCAGGGGTCACGTTTGACAGCAGCCTCAGGAGCTTCTCTTTAGGAGAAAGGAATGCATTGAGAAGCCTGTTCCGGCACTTTGTAATGGGATGTCCATCACCCACGGCAACCTCAGACGGAGATCTCCTCCCACACACTCAGAGGATCTCCTTCCCGATTTCATGTCTCCCTTTCAACGTACCTCAGTGACATGAACAAAATTGTTGGTTTGCTCTGCCAGGGGTTCGCTAATACTTTAATCGGCCCAGTGCTGGTGACAGTCCAGAAGCTCTCAGACTGGCTGATGGCTTCTTGCTGACCCTTGCTACTCTTAGTGATGTGATCAGTACAAATGAGAACTGCATACATACAGCATCTGCAGCCGTGGTCTGCACTGCAAGATGGTAAATGCGTCACTGCCATATGCCTGTTAGATCTTTAGGAATTGCTGGTCTCCTTATTGTTAACCATTCAGAATATTCAGAAGCACGTTGATACAATGGCAATGTGCAAAAGTCTTAGGCAGTCTAAAGAAATGTTGAAAGGTATTTATCTGGGTAGTATGTACACATTTACTCAGAACAAAAAGTACAATATAATATTAGAACATATGCAAATTATGAGTAACAATAAGAACTAGAAAAACGTCTTTCCTTCTTCTTACTAACATCTTGTTGGACGGCTTGAAGAACACGGCTTCAGTTCCTGACCTCAGGGGCACCTCAGCCATTCCATGTATTTAAGTTTTATCACCAGCACACTTAAGTTAATTAGCTTAATTTGTTTAAAAAACTCAATGAAATATTGATTAGCTATATGAGGTGTATTAGTGGTTGAGTCAAATAATACACGGTGTATTGTACGTTTGCTGGAAATACTGGGGTGATTTTAGCAGAGGTTTTGAAATCGCTAAACTAACACACTCTGACGGGCGTAAGAGCACAGTTTTACACCAACACAAAGATTGTTTAAACACCACTCACTTTGGCTGCCTAAGACTTTTGCACAGTACTGTATGTGTGTATTACTGTGCTATTGGCTCTTTATTTTAGAATGAGGGTCCTCTTCAAAGACTGTTTTTGGAACTTGAGTGACTTTAGTGGTCATTGTCAACAGGGGTTTGATGTTAATTGGCTGCCTTGCTGTTACTGAGCAGTTAAAGCCAAGCGGAAATAAAAGACACGTCATTTTGTGCCGATGGCCGGACTCACGCCAAAGATGGACAGAGCAGATGTGACCTAGCATTGTGATAGCAGATGTTTCTATCTTTCTACTGTAGAACATCTCGCCACTTTTGCTTGTGTACAATTAGATGGCAGGAAGTTGGGGGGAGGGGAGGGGTTAGTTTGCCCCTGATTTTCCTTTGTGCACAGGTACATGAAAGCAAATTCCGGAATTCTGTTGGAGGCTTCTATAGTCCCAGGTTCCTGTGTTTGATCTGACTGCTGTCCACTGTGCTGAGCTCCAATGAGGGATTTTGAGTTTAGATCCTCTCAGGTTTCCTGTCTTCCTTCATCATGTTCATAAGAGGCCCTGAAATTCTTATCCTCCAGAAAGCCCAGACTCCATCCTGCTCATAGGGGGACTTGTTCATTTTTTTACTAATGTCGCTTCCCATTTTTAATGATTATTCCAGGGATGATGCGGGGAAGCAGAACATTCTGTATTATGAATAACCCAGGATCTATAATCAGAGTGCTCATACATTTTAATCAGTTGTCACTGGAAACACGTTCCCCCTTGTAGTCCTGTGAATTCACCAATAATCTTATTTGTTACACGGCAAATTTGGAAAAGTATCTTTTATATAATGGAACCTTTGTACCAGTGGGCTTTTATCTGGGGAGTAATGGACTCACTCAGGTTGTTCATCTGATGCACAAATATACTAGTTTCATAAATACAAGACTGCCCTCACTTTATGGTTTTTGTAAACACAGCCTACTTGCTGTTCAGCATGGGAACTGTTTTAGTGAAACCTTCAGCAGGCGATGCTGCTCTGTTCTGCTTTACTGGGCAACCAGACAACAATAATTCCCCATCCAAGTCATCATGATGTAAATAATGACCTTTCCCTTTTATTCATGTCGGCTGCACTCATCCTGCTCCCTCCTTTCCCCTCTTCTTTCTCCATAATGACTCCTGGTGCCGGCGCTTTCCTGCAGTCTTCCACCTCCGATCTCGTGTTTGATATATCGCTCTCTTTTGCTTGTATTTCTTCTCAGATCACGCTGATCGAGAACGTCTCCCACCTGTCAGAGCTGCGCGTTTTAAACTTGGCAGGGAACTACATCTCCAGGGTGGAGAACCTGCAGGGCCTGGACACCCTGACTGAACTCAACTTGCGGCGGAACTGCATCTCCAGCGTGGTGAGGGTGTGGGAGATGTGGCTGGGTTTTGGGGGGGGGGGGGGGGTTTCTGATCAGAGAGGTAGGCAATGGGTGGGACTAAAATGCAGCAGCTTTGGAAAATATTCACCCCCTTGAACTTTGGCAAATTTTTGTGCATTTGAGCAGTAGGGCTCATCAACAGCCAATGGTTTTGTCTGTGTCCCCTCAGTACATCCACCCAATCTGCTGTTACTTATCTGTACATTATTTATCATACTGTCTAAATTGTCCTTGTTTTGCATGACCTCCTTGTATATAAGTAATTGCTAATAAATAAACAATTATAATTCTGATATATTTAAATAGAACACATTTTCATACTCAAACGTATTCACCCTGAAGAGGAAGGAATATTATCCCACAAGAAAACTTGATTAAAATTTATAATGAATGGGGGAAAAAATGAGATTTCTTTATCATGCATAAATCCCATTTGTTACAATACTCACGTTAAAGCTGCAGATCGCCCGAAAAATGAAAAAGATGAGTTTTGGATGGCCTTTAGTGCTATCTACCCATCTAGGGTGTTCTGCTGGGAGTCACCTAGTTTTGGAGATATCCAATTTTGAAATGTCGGCCTTTTCTCGAATATAATGAGAGTGAATATGGCATTCTTAGTGTAGTGATTGAAGCGCCAAAAAAAAATACATTTGGAAAAATTCAAATTTGCTCAAGATAATCCACAGACTTCGTAGTAAACAGTTTAATGACGGAACTATTTCCTTGTACCGAACTCCACACACCAATTGAATCACTGCAGAGAAGATACAAGCACAAACATGCCAGCAATAACTTGTGAACGGCGATACCATTGGTGTATGGGGTTCGGTGAAGATGTGCTAAGATGGGAAGGCCTGTCCACAGGTCAGCAATCTCTGCAGAACTGCACAGACGTCGCCTTAAAGGCAGAGGAGTTAGAACTCATGCCTGAGAAAATACCACATGAAAAAGAGCCTGGATTTCGCAACTTGACACATGACAAGGTCTGCAATCATGTGGTGAAAGATTCTGTGGGTTACTGAAACCAAAACTAATTTCTTTGGCTCAAAGGAAAAACCATGGAACAGTTTGGTGGTACCTCGATGTTATGGGGAACCTTTTTAGTGCCAAAGACAGAGGGTGGGAGTATCTGGAATCAAATAAAGGCAAATTCTGGAGGGGAACCTGCTGCACTGTGCAGTTGACCTTTGGCAGCGTTAAACATTCACGTTCCAACAGGACAATGACCCCAAACATGCTACTTAAAGGTACCTGGTTGATCCACTTAAGGCCCACAGATGAATCCTACTGAAAATCTGTGGAAACATGTGAAGGTTGTGGTTCACTGATCTTGATCTTGAGTAAATCTTCAGGGAAGGACAGGCAAACATCCCTAAATCCAGATGTGCAATGTGCATACAGATATAGCCAAAAAGATGCCAAGTCCTGCTTTAGCTGCTTCTTCTACACAGTAATGACTGAAGAGGATTAATACTTATTAAAGCAATGGATTCGAGTTGAGTGAAACTCAATGGGCTACAAGATGTTTGTACTGTATGAGGCATTTATGGTAAGCTGTTTTATTCTGGTATTAGGTTGCCTTTTCAAGAACTGACCAGGCAGGACAGATGAAAATGAGCCTATAGAGCTAACTCTGGCTTATTTAAAGTCTTTTGTTCTGTAGATCAATGATTACTGTCCCTGTTAAATGAATAAATAAATACAGGACATGTGCGTAGTGAGTGCACATTTGCACAGAACAAAAAACACAATATAACCTTAGAACATGTGCAAATTTTGAGTAACAAAATAAAAACTAGTAAAACTTTCCTCTGCTCTCCTAAAAGTTACTGATATCTCGTTGGATAGCAAGATAAACATTGCTTCAGATCCCAAACCTCTCCTCAGGACACCCCAGCCATTCCATGTATTTATAGAATTAGCTCACTTAATTAACTTAATTAGCTAAAGTCAATAAGATATTGATTAGCTATATGAGGTGTGCTAGTGGCCGCGACAAAAAATACATAGGTGTATTGTATGGTTGCTAGAAATACTGAGGTAATTCTAGCAGCGGTTTTGAAATGGCTAAGCTGATACTCCATTATGCTATTATGCCTGTCAAAGTATTACCGCAAGCTGGTCGAATGCACTTTTTAATACCTTTTTGCATATAAATATTTCTGTCTCCTCAAATTAAGTTCATTGTGTGTATAATGCTTCTCTTGATTATAAAATCAGGATTCAATATTAGTAAATTTGTGGAGTAGAGTAACAGTAAGCCACATTGTCGTTGGAAGGGCCTCCTCTGTAGTTCCTGTAACTGAATGAATCTGCTGTACTGTAGTGTGTGATGTATGTTTCTTACAATATGCTTCACTGTCTGCAGTATCAGTTAGGTATACAGTCTGTATTCACATGCAGTTGACAGCTGAATTGCCAGCCTCATTCTCAGTGTGTTTTACAACCAGCCCACACATCTGTAATGCTTTTTGTAGTTGGTTCCCTGCATTGCATCCAGTAGCTGGCCATCTCCCTTCAGTAATGCTTCCTGTATCTGGCCCAGTCTTCTCTGAAAGGCATCCTGTAGCTCACCCTTTTCTCCTGTATCCTGCCCTCGTGTCTGTGTAATACCTTCTGTAGCTGACCTTCTTCCCCTTCATCCACTGTAATGCCTCTTGTATCCTGCCCACTCTCATGTTGTAGATGTTCTCATCCAATATACTCTGTAATTCTTCCCATAGCTGACCTTCTCCTCCTTTGAAATGCTTCCTGTAGCTAGCCTAGGCTTCCTTTGTAATGCTTCTTATAGCTGTCCGTCTCCTCCTTTGTAATGCTTCTTGTAGCTGGCCTTCTCCTCTTTTGTAATGCTTCCTGTAGCTGCCCTTCTCCTCCCTTGTAATGCTTCCTGTAGCTGCCCTTCTCCTCCCTTGTAATCCTTCCTGTAGCTGGCCATCTCCTCCTCTGTCCTGCCCCCCTGTAGCTGGCCCTTGCCCCTCTTCTCTCTATAATGCCTCCTGTATCCAGTCTCTCCTCTCTTTCACTACTCCTTATCCACATGCTCATGTCTTCTTAAATTAGCATCACTTTCTTTCTCCAGATGTTCTTGGCCTTGGTGAAGTTTTCCACCTACAGCCCTGGCACCTTCTTCACTTGGTTACACTGTTTCTCTGTGGTTTGTTTAAGTTCACGGTGTTTGATATTTCCGCTCTTTTCTTCTCCCTAAAGATAAAATCAAAAGGAACACACAAATTGAAATGGCAGACTTGGTCTCAGGTTTTGTGTGTGGAAGGACAGAGTGACTGTTTTCTTAAATTATTTTATGGAGTGGAAGTGTTGACACCATGACTCTCTGTGTGCAAACATCAGCTCATTTCTGACTGAGTATCTTGGAGATGATCGCTGTAGCGCCTTGTAATAAAGTGCATTCATGAGGGTGAGTATAACTCTTGTATGTATTCCCTGTAAAGACCTCCACCTCTACAAATAGGGTGCGATATTTTGTATAACATTCCATGGAAGGAAATATCTCAGCCCAAAGCTTCTTTCTGTCTCATCTCTCCTTACACAGTAATGCTGCCAGTTTTTTGGGTTGCATGGACAGAAATCCTCATACACTTTTAAAATGTTTTACTTTTCGTACTTGTGAGGTATAAAATGGGTTTTTGGAAGAGTGACTAAAGGAAAAAAATGTTGACATTGACATGCTGTAGAGAAAGAGGTTACAGTCTCTGGTCTGCTAAGATGGAGGGAACATTTTGTGTAGGACAGAAATGATGGAATGCTTTGTTGTGCATTGCATGTGAATTTTGTTTACGGAATAAGAGTGAGCACTAAATAACATGCCTGTAGTGGGGTAGGGGTTTGTAGGCGGAGCTGTGCTGTCAGTAGGTAATGATTAAATGGTGCTGACAAGCGCCTGGTGTGTGACTGAAGTCAGGAACGAGGTGAGTGACTCTCCCCCTCACAGCCGTGAGCCGAACCGGCCTGACCAGGAGGCACACCCAAACGCCAGCGTGAGACTTTGGCTGAGGTGATGCAGGTTGGGGGTCTGCTTCTGGGGCTAACAGGCCAGCTCCTCTGTTCACTGTTTGGTATGTTAGCACGTTAGCTGATGACGTTGTCGTCATTGTGGCAATCAAGAGAAGTTGAAGGAACATTTAGTGTCTATCTTCACGGGCTAGTTTCCTACACATAAAAGCATAATTACTGCTTGCTGCTGCTGTGGATTGATTTGCTTTTCTTACCCTCCTTAATTGGGGCAGGGACCTAAAAAAAAGTTTTTAAATGTGGAAGCAACTGACAAAATCTGGGCTATCTAATCATATGTCTTGAAGGCCACAACATGAGTGGATTCTCCAGCTCTCTTTAAACAACTTGCATTCAGAAGGCATTTTTTATCCATCTAGGAAAAATAATAAGAACAAGTAAAATGCAATGAACTGCTTCATAACCAGACAGGGTGACCAGTCTGCAGTGACTTTGTCTCTCCATAAGGGTTTCTTTTTACATCCTATATGCTGTGATACATTAATAGCTTCTCGTTCTCATTCTGTGTGACCTTTAAAGTATTAGTGGAAACGTGACCCATTAAGAAAGTTCTAATCTCTAGTTACACAGTTAAGGTTGTCATCTTGGAAAAAGAAGGATATTTAATAAATAGGTTTTCACTAGTTAAACTCAGAATCAGCATAATTTCTCAACCTGTTCAGACCACGCCACTAATTTACCGAAGAATTGTAAGTTAGCCATATTGGTGGTGCAGTAAACATGTTACATCATAGGCCCCTGGATTGGAACATACAACCTTCAGGTCATGGTTCCAGTTCTGAGCACGGTGCCTACTGGTGCAGTGGCATTTTTATGAGACATAGCAGGGGTGCCTATTTTGTGCCCAGCATGAGCCTTTGAAGCTTCCCGCCCTGGTGGTGGCTTGTTGAGTTCACTGTTCCAAATTGAGGTGGCTAGAGAAGGTATGCACAAGTTTGGGTCTGGTCCAACGTGGGTGCGGAAGCCCCCCCGCCCCTCCACCCCCCACAAAGAGCAGACCGTAACCACTACCTCCTGTGCCTGCCACATTTTATTGTGCTTTTGTTGTGATCTTGCTCCAACACCATTCATTTGCCTTTGGAATTTTCTCCATAGGGTGTCCGGGGTGCGTTTTAGCAAAAGTTAAAACTTGAGTTCACGACAGCTATCCTGAAGCAATTTATATCAGAGGAAAAGAGGTAAAGATTATCATTTTTAAACCCATTGAACTCAATGGATTGAAGATGGATTAATGTGAATGTTTACTGTACTCTTGACTCGTTCTGACAGGCTACTTTACAGCATTGTTATTGCCATTCGACTGTCAGCACAAGTATTGTGTTAAGCACTCACTGAATCATCTGATGACCTGCACTTGGCCGCATACATTTATCTGCTGTCAGTGCCTAATTCAAGACTTTATTCAGTCCTGACTGCAGAACAACTAATTTCTGCTGATTTTCTTTTTATGATGGTTTTTTAAATTTCAGTTTCCAGCTTTTTGTTTTATTTTTTAGTCAGAATAAGCTGTATGTCTTTGTTTGTTTGTTTGCCTGTTTGTTTATTTGTTGAGCATGTCCTTTTGTACTTGTCATTTGGTGAACTGTTAACCTAAGCGGGCTAAACATATAAGTGTTGCCCTTTTCCTAATTTAGTGACAACAGCCATGCGAAACAGAGATTTACGTAACCAGGGCAACCGGCAGGAGTCCGGAAGCTGGCGCAGAGGCTGCCCAGTGAATCGCCACACAATCTCAAAGTTCTAAGCTATTGTTCCCCTGGGGAACGGACTGAAAGGGGAGCCACTGGAGGCATGGCTGTAGGCCCAGTTGGGTCTGTGCCGGATGCTTCCTGCATGCTGAGAGGGAACAGTAGCAGGACCGTATGTGTACGCAGTAATAATGGAGAGTTAGCCCACACACCACATCCACATGCCACCGTCTTCCCATGTGGCCCACAACCCCACCCATCTCCCATGTGGCCCACAGCCCCACCCATCTCCCATGTGGCCCACAGCCCCGCCCATCTCCCATGTGGCCCACAGCCCCGCCCATCTCCCATGTGGCCCACAGCCCCGCCCATCTCCCATGTGACCCATAGCCCCGCCCATCTCCCATGTGGGCTCCCATGGCATTCGTCAGCATCCTCCTGCCTTCCAGCAAAGGGCCCAGTAATGAAGCACGCTGATTCTCCCGCCTGACAAGTGATCATGTTATCTCCTGCTCTGCAAATGAAACCGACACTTAGTGTCTTTCTGTGTGCGCTGGTACCTTCAGTCCACCTGGCCCAGCTGCAGGCCAGAGTCCCAGAGCTCAGCACAGTTCTTGATCCCCAGGGGGCTGGACTGGCCATCTGGATTACCAGCATTTTCCCCGGTGGGCTGATGGTTACGTTAGCCGGCACCCCAAAGTCCAGGGCTGGATAAAACTGAAGGAAACTGAGAAGCTGGGGGATTTCCTAGAGGTCAGGAGCATCCAGCCTCCACCGGGCAACTTCTCTCACCATCTCCTTCTCACCATAGACGGAGTTGGACCGCCTACCTTCCCTGCAGCGGCTGTTCCTCAGCTGCAACCGAATCGCCAGGTGAGCTTCTGGACGTGAGCTTCTGGACGTGAGCTTCTCCGTGTCAGTGGCGTCACATTTCCACACGCACAACAGCGCTCCTCTCCTGCTAACCCCTGATTTTCAGGACCTATCATTTCCACATTAGTACCATCTTGCATAGTTTTAAGCTGGACACCTTTGCACAGAGCTGCCTTCCACGGGAAGTGAATTATGTTTTATTTAAGTTACTCCCTGTCTTCACTTCTGTCATGTCAATGTACTAGTTAGCTGGGAAATTCTACTTCATCTCAAGCCATTTTAATGATCATCTCACCATCCTTTCCCACAATCTGTGCATTTATACTATGCAGGGTCTCCGGTCTATGATTATTGTTTCAGCTTCCTTTGTTTCAGAAAGAACAGACATGCTTGACTATTAGCCCGAAGGTTAATGTCACATTAACACATCAGCTATGTCGCACGTTGTTACTTCATTTGCATAATCAGCCTAAACTCAGACTCTCGCGCTGAATATGGAGAGTGTGTTTTGTATATCCGGAATCAGGTTCTTGTCTTAGCGACTTAATGTGAATTAATTACCTCCCTGGATTTCAGTGTTGGAGCTCATGTCCTCATGGATGCCTGTCAAAACCCCGAAAACTTCCTACGTCAGTTTAACTTGCTCAAGGCAAATTTCTTTTTTCGGTCCTCACGCTTTTCTGTTGAACGCCCTGCTCGACACCCTGTTCAACAGCCTGTTCTCCACGCAGAAACACGCATATTTTAGCAGGTCTGCTAAATTTGGCATAACGAGCTGCCCGTTTCGCGCTCGCAGTGACAGTGCTAACAGACCCAAGCTGGAGCTCACAGGAGCTCCTTCCATTAGCTCACAGGAGCTCCTTCCATTCACCTGTTTTTTTGCCGGGATCATGCTGAGCGGCCGTCACCCTCATAGGATCAGCCCTAGTTAGGCCTTTGGCTTTAGCTATTTAAATTATGCCTTTCTGGAACCCATGCCAGCAAGGTTTTTGATATATTCATTTGAACCCACCTTCTCTGGTTCTGAAACTCTAAACTGTTCCTTACTTGACCTCTCTACCAATCAGATTTTAGTTTTGTAAGGTCACATTTTTTTTTTTTTACTGTTAAGTGTTCTATGTTAGAATCATTGACAGAATTTGCAGCATATTTTTGTTTTAAAGATAATCAGACATTAATTGTTGTTTAATTGCTGCAAGATATTGCTTGTGGCAGCAAAGGAATATGAAGACAGACACAAACATGAGGATCGGGGGCAGTGGTGCAGCCCTGGATATAACTTGTTTTTGTGTCCCGGGCTAGTTTTGATGACCTGGCCTGCCTGAGCCGATCCAGCTCCCTCGCTGAGCTTGCCCTGGACGGGAACCCGGTGACGCAGGAGGCCTGTTACAAGCAGACTGCACTGAGATGCCTGCTTCACCTGAGACAGCTGGACATGAAGCGCGTCACGGTAAGGCGTGTGCATACACGCGTGTGCCTGCATATGCTGTCGTACTTCTGGGGCCGCGTGTGCACATAGGACCGTGCATCCTCACATGCGTGCGCGTGCGCACCCGCATTCGTGCGTATGCATCTCCGTGCACCGACACCCTCGTGGGACCTGTATTCCTGTGCCCGCATCTGTGTAGAAAATCTTTGGGTTGTCAACCGAAAAAATAGATACTTCGAATTCCAAGAGCAGCGAGTTTATTCTTGAACAACGATAATATAGTCTCTTAGTGGTTTAATTTTCCCTATTAATTTCAATGCTTTCACGTGTAACTCTTCGCCTTATGGTGCAATGCAGATTGGGACATCTGAGAGGAAAAACACACCCAGGCCTGACTTTGAGAAATTCATACGGTTGTAGGTTATGCTTCTAATTTATGTCGTTCTGTTGTTACACAGAAAGGAATTTGTGTCACAGGCAGGCAGTACAGGGTGACAGCCGCCCGCAGCTGGCTAGGTGGGGTGCGATCTCCTCTTTGAATCCTGGCCATTTGGCTCTTCACTGATGAATCCGTTACAAAGTAATTTTAGCCATGCTTCACTAAAGTGAAATGCTAGATCCTCTCTCAGCTGCTTGCCTTCCCTACTCAGCCTGATACCTCATGCCTGGGCAGCTTCCTCACTCTCCCTCAGTGATGTTCCTCTTTGTTAGAAGGTGTTACCAGATTCATGGCATTTATGAAGCACTGTGCTGACGTTTAAGATAAATAAGTACCTAGAGAGATGACAGCGGGTCTGTGGCTAAGTTACACTGAGCCAATCTGAGAGTTCGAGAGCTTGGCTTGAGATGACAGTATTAGCAATTCTCATTTTGGCATGAAAAAATAAGTTATGGTAATGAAACTATCCAGAGCTGATGCTGGATTTTTGGGCACTAGGTACATGATTGTATTTCTTTTAATGTCATTATTTTTGTGTCAGATTTAAGGTCATTTTTATGAATTAAGGAAAACTCAAAAACCAATGAAATTTTAGGTTGAATTATATTGGTTGGCCATGGAAACAATGCTCAAGATCTCCCTGCTGGTGCGAAACCGTTTTTTCACCGAAGCAAAATAAAAGTGCATCAGAGGAGATAGAAGTGTGCTGGGTCTTTTGTCAGTGAACAAAAACCGGCATGACAATATGCCTATTCTTTTGTAAAATTGCAGTGTGAACCTGGAATCATTGTACATAGACGGACTTCTTCTAGAGAATCGCCTTTGATCGTTCATCTAGGACCCCCGCACCTCACAACAGCTGCTGGCTGAACAATTTAGCCGGCAGGAACATACCCACCCGGGCTCCTTGATTATTCGCAATCAACTGAAAGATGAGTTCCTCAAATAGAAGTGGCTGGAGAGGGGGAGAGACTGGGGGCCATTGTTACATCCTGCTAAACGATGCATAGTCAGCCAGTGGGGAACTCAGACCAAAGATATTAAAATATGTGACGTCTGTCAGGCAATCAAGTCATAAGTGGACCACTGGGACTGCTGATGAGCTATCTGAGGTAGCTACAATGGGCCGCGCTTTTCTCTGAGATGCATGTGATGATGTTTAATGAGTACACAGCCCCCCCCCCCCCACGTTGATTTACACAACGAAACCTGTACTCCTGTTGGAACCCCGGTGACAGACCGCCAAGATTGAGCAGGAGGCTTAGAGACCCCTATGAATAATTAAGTTCCAGATCTGCAGGAAGAGTCAGCAGGAAAGGTACTAATGGACCAGAAATCAAACCGGCAGTATGATAAGGGCATCCAAGAAATAAAGAGTATCCTGGAAAAAAGGTTTGCCAGTAACAACTGCTTCACTGTCTGGAAGGGCTATCAAACCATCACTAATTAAAAACAAAACTCTTGTGTAAATGGTGACCTACCTACACCTAACAAGCTCTGTTAGGTACATTTGAAACCCAGTGGACCATCAGGAACTGGGACTTTCAAAACCCCACCTCTCATCTTTCCAACAGACTTGTTACCTTCCACCTCCCCTTCTCAAGCATCCATTGGCCGACTGACAACGAATTCGCACCGATTCTTTTATCCTACAGGGGGGCCTTCAGGCTCTAAAAGATACAAACCAGCAGGCAGGCAGCTGGAGCTGATCTGGTCCCCCCTCCCACGCTAAAACACAGCACAGTCCAGTCTCAGTCTTTATAGCTATATGCACTCAGGTTTTGGAACAGTAGAGTGTTTCTGCCTGCTTAAGATCTTCCATCATTTTTATTATCATTGCGCTTCAGTCCATACCAGGCAGAATGTGCAACTCCCACCTTCCCAGCGACCTTAGGGCCAGATTTAAAAGCAGGTTGATTGAGCGTGGGGGCACCATCAAGAAAAGGCGACAATGAGACTGATCAGTTCTCGGGGGATCTACTAAAAATGTGCAAGTTTATGAATACAGACACAATTGGTTCTTTTAAATATTGACCAATCCAATCTACCAAGGGCAGCGCAAAATAAGACATGCTTTTTATTCAGCGTTATATAATGCCGCAATTTGCAGTGAATTGTCTCCTGCAAACTATAGTACATCCCACTGCATGAGTCATTTAAGTACTCTCCTCCCCCAAATTTTGTACTTTGAAAGGGAACTCCGTTCAGTCACAAAATTAACTGTCAATGTCTTTCCACTGCAATCTTTTCACTGTACGTCTTTAGTAATCCCTACAGTACTACTTTAACTCCAAAAGAGGGCTGGCGTTGGCACAGGCTGTTAGTAAATCTGGCCCTTAGTCTTTGCACTGGTGCACCCAAAATTGCATGCTCTATCACCTACTCTGTACGCTAATGACCTGGGTGCACCACATCCTACAGTTTAATAGCATCAAACAGTAGAAATGATGGATATCTTCTGGCCTGGTAGCTCAATAGCTAGCTCTGTGTGTGGGTGTGCATGTGTGAAACTGAAGGGCTGGTATCTTGTCCATAATGTTTCCTGGGATACTGGCACGCTCAGACTGGCCTTGAACTGAATAGGAGATTCTGGAAAATGTACATGTGGAAATACCCCCATTCGCCTATTATCAGAAAGATGAAAGAGGTTTCTGGCAGGATAGTTGAGCCCTTCAGATTACTGGGGACCCCCGTCTTCAACACACTGAACAGGATGAGAGGATCGCATCCACCAGAAAGTGCAGCTGCGCATGTCGTATGTACCAGGTGAAGATAAATGAACACAACAAACCCATTTTGGTACAATTCTGTGTAGTCATCAGTGACAGCATCATCACCTCGTACATCAACGTCTGATCGGGTGCGGTATATGCCAAACGCAAATTACAATGTTCACCAAATCTGCACCCCTCCCTCCTCGGAGAACATCCAGGGCGAGGAAGAGGTTCGCTGACCCTCCCATCCAAGGCAACCAGCTGTTCCAAAGTGTTATTTCTGAAAAGTGCATTAAAACCTGAACCATGTCACTTTTAAATTCTTCTTTCTGATCGATAAAGCAGCCTAAAATAGTAACACTTTATCCTTCTATCACATCATTAGGGATTGCTTCTTGGACTGCCCTGCCATTGTTAGGTTACTGCATTTTGTCTGTATTTTTATAGACTTTACACACACTTGGAACGAAAATGTACTGTATTGTCGACATTTGTTATAGCCTGAGTATTTTTACTGTGTGTGTCATGCTTCTATGTTGAATAGCAAAAAAACTGTACCAGTACATTGTAACGTACTTGGCAAGTTAAGTTGATTTGAATTGGTGGAACAGAGAGGTATGGTGAGCCAGCCTTACGTCATGCTAAATTAGAGATGAAGTGAGTTTAGCTAAGTTCTGGTTAAGTCTGAAAGGAGCGTGGTTTGACATGTGACGTTGCACTTTGCCGGATCAAAATCGCAGTTGTAGCAGAGGGAAAAAGTAACACTCGGTTAATGGTGTGTAAAAAAGGGATCTGCACTCCGAACGGAAACGCCAGTGATACGCAGGAGTGCCCCGTTTGAACTGCACTCCAGGGAACCTCTTACATATCCACTGCCTGCTCTCTGTGGTACCCTGCACTGGATGAGGGGTCAGAAGATGGATTATCGGATGAAATGGATTCATTAGTGGTTTAATATTTTTAAGAAATCTTCATCAGGGAATGAAAATAAAGAGATGATAATGTAATGGTTAAGGGACCCTCTGTTTATTGAAAGTGGAACTTGGATGAATGTGGAAATCTGAATATCACACGTGTCTCACACATGATGGACCAATGGCACTTTACACAGTCATCTGTCACTTGTGTCCCTCTCCATGGTAACATACCAGGGTCACACCGCAGGCGTTTCTCTCGCAAGGGGCCCTGAAGGCTTGTACTGATGACCGCCTTGTGTTTCAGGATGAGGACAGGCGCTTGGCCTGTTTCTTGGCCCGGAAAGATGAGGAAAGAAAGCGAGAGAGTCTCAGGCTGGCTGTACAAAAGGTACCGTGAGTCTGTGTCCATCTTATCATCTCTTTGTATTACTCTGCTCCTTTTCATCTTCAGGGATTGTTTAACAAATTGACTATGTTGCACATCTAAGCTGACTGCTGCTTTTTTGTTGGCCGTTTGATGTTGGGTAATTTTGCAGACAGATCTCTGCACATTATCTGTGAATACTACATCCCAGTGATTTTAGGTTTTAATATTGCGTTAAGATGAAAGGAAGAGACGGAGAGACAGGGAACTGTTCGCTGCTGGGCAGCGTTTCGGTTAGACACACAGAATATGATTTAGCCGTAACTAAAAGTCCAGCGGAGGAAGGATGCTGCTGCTATAGTTACCGATCAGCCACAGTCAAGACAGCCTCAGGAAAGCAGGAGGTGAGCGATCAGAGTGCATAAGGAGATTTCTGAATTAGAAAGCCTGCCCTGTGCCATGCAAAGCTTTCTGCAGCAAAGAGCAGAAAGGAAGAATGATGCATGAGTCAGATGCCCCGATGAGACCGAGATAAACTTGTAGCAAGTCAAGGGAGGTGAAAGTCTGAAGGAGGCTTTGTTTCTCCCAGAGAGTACTACTACAAAGGCCCGTGGAGCTAATGAACTGCCCATACATATTTATCTGTTCTGCAGGCATGAACGTGCAGTGGCATAATGAATTAAGATGTTTATGAGAAGATTTTTGTCTTCTTTCTCTATTTAGATGAGAAACGCGTGCCAGCAGCTTGGTAGCGTGGCAGTTCAAGGCTGCTGGAGTTTGCTGGTTCCATTCGCACGAGGGACCGTGCCTTTCCGGAAAGCGCCTAAAAGTCAATCACTTTGCTAAATAGTGAGAAATATTTCAGTGCTCCCGTCTTCTTGGCCATCATTTCATCGTGAAGTATGACATCCAAGTTCCTCGGGAGACAGGAAAGGAGTGGAAAGTTGCAAAAGAGTCCAAGTCATTTTTCAGCATTTAAATTCAATTTTTCATGCATTTCACTTGAAGAAAATGGATCTTGAGAATTCCCTTTACTTTCGATACAGCTACTGTGTTTATGATCTTTCCACTGTTTTTTTTTTTTTTTTTTTTAATTTTAAAAAATTTGGTTTCCCTTCGTTATATTCTGTATGCACCGTAACATGTAACTGATCCCAGCACTGCTGATGCTGTAACGTGAGCAGACTGGGGCTTTTCGAGCGTCAAATTCAATTCCATCACACGAGAAGCACTTAGCATGTGTTGTCGACTTCATTGCGTGTGTGATAAGGCCAGACGGACCCACATCCAGTGCGATATCGGCTCGCAGATTAGCATTTATCAGTATCTATTCCAGCAAGCGACGCAGTTCTGTGTATTGTGATACACAGTAAAGAAGAAAAACAGGAACTTCTTCAGCGGACTAAGCTCCCGGGCGTGTGTGGAAGGAAGCCAGCGTCCTAGCTGCTGATCGCAGCGTGAGCTAAGAGGCTGCTGGTATTCCATGGCTTGGCTGGCCGTTTTGTTTTGAGAGGCGCCAAATGTCTTTTCATCTGTGCAGAGAAGCTGTTCGCTTTCTTCTGGGGGGGGGGGCGAGGGGTAGAATAGAAATTATGGTTTCGCTTCACTTCTGGGCACAGAGATTTTGCGCCAAGCTGCAGGAAGCTATCAGAACTGGTGTGAAATAAAATTTAAAATATGAGATATACTGAAGATAAACCGTATCTATAGTAACGGGTGACAAAGCCAGTGGGTGCATAAACATTATAAATTTTATTATGGTTAAGATTGTAAATCGCCTGTTAAAGAGGTGATATATATGATGTCCTTGCAAAGTGCTGCTAGTAGGATGATAGTAATGTGTCTATTAATGTTATCGAGGAGCTCTGCTGTTTTACCATCAACGAGTTTTAGACATAATGGTTAAAATGTAAAGTTTAAACTGTTATGAATGAAACAGGCTTTAATTATTAGTATATTTTTACCATCTGTCTTTTGATGAAGCACGTTTGAGAGCTTTGATGATCAAATTGGTTTTCTTGGTTCAGCACTGATTACCTTTTATACCACTTGTAAGTGAGTGACTGATTATATATATTAGGTTAGTGTTACGTTGCCAGAACTTTCAGTAGTGGCAGCTGCACCTGTTTCAAATGAAACATGCCCAACCCTTATTATTTTGTCATGCAGCAGTTGAATATATACTGCAGCTTTGTATTAACTGATCTGAATTATATTATATTAAAGTTGCCTTGCTATTTTTTTTACTGAATACAACCAATGTAACGATACCTCTCCAGCAAGTACAGGCTACAGGTCTGATGTGTATGTTTGTCATGGTGTGCTAGAGCTAAAAGATCATTTTAGCTTTGTTACAAAGGTCAGCAATCCACAGCTCCACGACAGGCAGCCTGTTTTGTCTTGTTTGAAGCCCAGTCCCAACCTCTGCTCACTATACTTGTCTGTGTGTGCAATGGGAGCAGGAGAAACGGCGCCTGGCCGTCCAGAATGCTGCCCGAAACTGGGAGGACCTCAAGGCTGGGACTAGGGAGGTCTGCCCAGAGAAGGCCAGCTCTGCACAGGACTGTGACCTTCGTCACCTGCAAGAACTTAGGTACGTATGGTACATATTGTATTGGCGACTCTGCAGACCACGGAGACACAAGTATGGCAGATCAACTTCTTTTACTTAATTTTACTGGACACTGGGGGGCAGCGTGTGGCTCAGTGGGCTAAGCCTGTGTGCCTGTAATCAGAAGGTCGCTGGTACAAACCCAGCCTTGGCTTATCTGTGGGTCCTTGAACAAGGCCCTTAACCCCCCCCCCCCCCCCAGCTCCCTGGGCGCCCAAACAGGTGGCTGCCCTTCGCAGACAGCTTACTCTACAAAGAGCAAGTTGAGGGAGGTGTAAAGACAATTTCTCCATGGGGATCAATAAAGTATCAAATATTATTATTATTATTATTATTATTATTAATTATTGGCAGTGCGCTTGAAGGACCACAGGGCAACAAAGATCGCAAACTACTAAAGCTACCATTTGACAGTCCAAAGTGATGTACAAGTGAGGATCAGATAGCAATTTGGATTAAGGGCTTTACTCAGGCACCTAATGGTGATATCACTTTACTAGCTAGAGGATTTGAACCAGAAACCTTCCAGTTGCTGCCACAAATGCCTAACCTGCAGAGCCACATACCACCCCAAGGGGCAGGTTATTTTACATGCCATAACCTTGCACAATTCTGGCCTTATTTGTGTAAAACATCAAAAAGAAGGTAGATCAGGTCTTGTGATGCAGTAGGACTGGCAGGACTGACCCATGCATGGCTTATCCAAGCATTAACTCTTCATGTCCTGCTTTGGCATTTCAGTGTTGAGTTTCCAACCTGTCTCCTTTGCTTGTGAGGCTCATATCCTTGACCTTATCCCATCCTGACCTTCTCAATTCCAGTCCTACAGGGAGGGCCTTACCTTAACATAAACGGTCACGAAGTAAATGGAGGATCTATGAAATTTAAAAAAAACCCACAAAAGAAAACATATCAGTAGATTAACCTCTGACAGTGAAAGAAACAGGTCTTTCTAGTGTCACGGTTGGTCGGTCGCAGGTCAGCCCAGACCCGCAAAAGGAGAAAAACGAGCCTTTCAGCCGGCAGCAGGGACGGCGTTGTGTTCCTCGCACATCTGTTTTCGATTGGCCCTTTGGCAGCAGGTCTGCTTTCTGAGTGAAGCGCTCAGACGGGCCATGATCCATCGTTACACGGGTAACAAGGCAGAGTAAAACTGTCACTGTCATCAAAGGCGTCGCCTTCTGCATCGAGGCGGAACGGTGTCCTGTGTCCGGTTTCACCGCAGACGTCCACGGAACCTCAACATTCAACTACAACACACTTGCCACACCTTTAAATAAACTATTACATAATGACACACCAAAGTCGCTTCAGTGTCTCCATATTCAAATGAAATCAAAGCCTGACCTTATTGTTTTACCATTACCATATTTTACCAACATCTTTCCCCATAATTATGGAATGACACTTGGCTGACTTCATGCTATTGTACCTCAACTGTGAGAACAGATACTTCTGGTTGCATAAATGTATTCTTGATCTATGAACCTGAGTTATTGTTCTGCTCAGGCAACATAATACATAGTTTGAGGCTACATAAATTTCTATGATGGTGTTTCAGCTGCCAAGTGAGTGTTCTGAAGACTATATGATAGCGATATTGAATTTGAGGAGGTGTCTATATTTGGATTAGAGGTGAGCAAATTAACTTGCTGGAAGTCCCTTTGGCCTGTAGACACAATCGCCCAGCTGTTTTCCAGGAAAGAGTCAGGAGTCAGGGGAGAGCTTTGCTTTACAGCTGCTGTCCTGCCTCCGTGAGCCTCCCCAGGGTTCAGGGGGCACTGGGGGACAGTGAGCCAGCTTCAAGCAAGTAGATATCCGCACAATGGGGCCTGTCTCCCGAATGCCAGTGTCGCTACCTCCCCGACAATGGAGGAACTGCAAGTGTACTTTCTGCCACTTGGTAGATGGTGCACCCGCAATTTCAAAGGCATCCCAAGCTGACGTGCGTCTGGGCTAGGAACACGCAAGGATAGGCGAACGACTTCTGTACCTGTGAGAAGAGAGATTTCTTCAGCTCCTTTTTTTTTGTGGGGGGGGGGGGGTGATTTATTGCCAAATAGGAGCATGTGGAGACAACAGTTCCACAGAGCTATTTATATATAATCCCTAAGAACACCTAGGACTGAGGCAGCAAGCAGGTGCCATACAGACGTAGATCTCAAGAGTTGTTACCAAGGTGACGGATGAAAAGAAGTTCATAGGCATGCAGAGAAATCGCAGAGTCTGAGACGTCCCAGCGGTAACCGCAGGAGAAACACTCCTCAAGGATAAGTACAAATCCTTCCTCCAGCAATCCCCTGTAAGGGTGTTTACCTGAAGGGAAAAGGGAAGATTGCAGGGACACATAGACACCTGGAGCGAGACGTATATGTATATTAATGACTGTTGACAAATATTTGGGAAGAAGTTTGTGTGACATTCCACTGAAGTCCATCTGTGATGATCTGGCACAAGCTTCTATTGCTTAGCCAGGCCTGGGAAACTGTCAGGCTTAAAAACACGTTGCAGCATATTTATCAAGACACAGTGTGACCTGAAAGTTTGTTGCAGGGCCTGTAATGAAAAATCGAGCCTGTTTGTACTCTGAGTTCAGTAAATGCTAAGTCCTTTATACCAGTGAAATGATGCTGCCTCTATATCAGCGCCAGAGGGTTTTTTTTTTTTACCATTAGCATTCATTTTGAGCGCCTATTAGGCTACATTTCTTGGGTTTTGTTCATACTCCAAGAGGGTCCCGGCTGTCTCTCAAGTGAGATTACAGCAGACAATGAGTGAGACATGTGCGAATGTGGCGATGGCAGGAATCCAGCTCAGCAGAAAACCGAATTGTGTCGCTCCCTGGACGCCGGCCCACTGCCAGAAGCTAATTCTCCATCCGGAGTCAGTTGATTTAGACCCTCGCTGGCCAAATTAGAGGCTGGTTGTGGGGTGCTTACCTATCACCAGCCAGCCCGTTACCCCAGGGCACTGGTGCCTGGAGACACAAGCTTTAAGAAACTGGGTTAGATATTGCAGTGGCCAGCTGAATCCACTTCTATATGACCCCATAATGTCAGAGACAGCTGGTCCCCTAAAGTATGACCTCAACTTTGGGTCGAATGTTTTGTGTCATTAAAACTTTTCCCAGAAATAGTTACATACAGTATGTTACAAACACCCTTAAGCGATGGCTGTCATGCCATAATTCTATTGTTGTCATATGGTGGTATTACCAAGAGAGTCGATGGAAGATGATTTCAATAAACATTTAGTGCTCTAGCACTTGGTCTCCAAGCTTCCCAAGGTCAACTTCTAACCAAATCAAAGGGCCCTGATCTTAAGTAATCTGTGTTGTTGAGATGCTGCTGTTAATTGAATTAAGGAATACTGAAATTATGTTTTGGTTTATTTTTTATGGTATTTAACCTTATATTTTGGTACAGATGATCCTCGCTTTACGGTGGTTCGACTTACAATATTTCGACTTACAATATATCGAGCGATAGCGACGCAAATTCAGTAGCCATCAGGCTTTGAATTTTGATCTGTTCCTGGGCTGGCGATGTACCGTACGATACTTTCTACTGAGGCCGGGGGCGAAGGCAGCATCCACTCTGTAGCGATCATGAGCGTGAACATCTCACAGTGTTTATAGCAAGATACCATCCAGTGCTATGAACATATTCAGCTTACGATGTTTTACATTTATGATGGAACGTAACCCCATGCTAAGTCGAAGAGCACCTTTAAGCTTACCCTAGGGTATTCCATACAGTCTAAGCAAACTGGGACCCCATCCAGTTTAGATTTCTGTGGGCCTCCACCTTTCCATCTCCTCTTTCAGCGCACCTGTGCCTCCAAATATTGGCATTGCCTTAGTGGCCTCTCTGTGTTCTGTCTCACCTGTTACTTCACCTTGGAACAGAGTCACTCAGCTTCCTCTGTGTGTGTGTGTGGTACAAAGCCTCTTATCTTTTTCCCAGGGAAAATGCGACACTTTGCAGTTTGCATTAGAGTATTACAGGCATCCAGTTGCTCTCAGTCGTCCCACTTTTGTTTTCCTACCATGTAACCAGGGAAGTCTTAGATTAGCTTGAAGGCACTCTGACGATAAGAAGAGGTTCCTCCTCTGCAGCAAGGAGATCAGGTTTGTTGCCTGGTACAACATTTTCCTTGTAAGTGCTTTTGCCGACCTTGTCCAACCAGATACCCTGGAGAAATGGACCAGCGAATTATCTTCTTGTTATGTTTTCCCACAAGAGCTTGGGATTGTCCGTCTTTCCGTCTGAATATCTATTTCTCTTTCTTTAAATTAGATGTAAGAATGCGAAGACTAATTTGTTGGATATAAAACTCTTTGGTGTCAGTGAATAGTAGTTACTATATCTGCCCTTCTGATAACTCCAGGAAGGGACAAGTGCTATTTTAAAAAAATCTTTTAGGGTGGAGGGGGAGGGGCACAAAGGGGGCCAACCAGTTTTCAGCTATGGCCAGTGGTCCCGCCCCTGTATACTCCCCTGCTGACAGCAGTCAAGGTTTGCGACTGTCATAATATCAGCAGAAGATACGTCCATCTAGAATCAGGTAGCTCTTAGACAACAGTGTTGGCCTCAAGATTGCTGGCCTCTTGTCAGGTGTTAAGCAGGCAACCTGAGGGAACTCTAGCTCAAGGATCCCATGGGCTACCTTGGTATGAACTTTGCAGGTCCCTGGAGACCAGTGGTGGCACCACACAGAGTTTGTCACTGTCAGACAGACACCTGGCGGAGCTGAGCGGAGACACACTGCGGCTATTTGGACTGGGAGCCCTGGACGCCCTGGATCGATCCTGGGCTGCCCAGAGTCCCGACTCCATCACCACCATTGCCTTCCGCTACATCCCATTCAACGCCATTGTGCCGATGCTTCCTCGAGTCCGGGTGAGGTTCCCCAACCTGTCGGTGAGTGCTCACAGCTATGGAGACCCTCGCTACAGCTCACCATGTTGAGACTCAATGAGATAAATGTGCATCTCATTCTGGTCTCAACCTTCACTTCAGCACCTGATTTTCCTGGAGACAGACATCAGCCGGTTCCCACAGCTAGGTGCCCTAGCTAAGCTAAGGCGCTTGAATCAGCTGACCATCCACCCTGAAGGCAATCCGGTACTCAGGCTGATGCTGTGGCGTTCATTCCTCATATATCGCCTCCATCATCTCAACCTGCAAAAGGTCAATAGTAGGGAGGTAGGACACCTAGAGCCGTACCTGCCAAAGGTCACATACAATGTACACGCATGCAGCCACACAAAGTCACAATCAAATGCAATTGTAAAATCTAAATCTGCCTGAAATTTCATTTGATTTCCGGATATATAAGGATTGTTGCACTAAAGATTCAAGTGGGAAGTCGCTAAAAAGAGAGGGAGAGAAGCATCATGCATGCATGTATGTGTATGTATGCAATAGGTGACCATGGAAGACAAGGTTTCTGCAGAGAGGCTTTTTGGCACCTTGGGTCACGTCGCTGCCACTGAAACCCCCCGCTTCTGCCTTCTGCTGCTGTTAGGGGAGCCCAGGTAATCCCCGATGACCACCTTCCCACCATCCACTAATCCCAAACAGAGCATCCATTACCCCTCATCTCTGCACGAGGCCACTGAAGAAGCCTTTTGTTTCACTTGGATGCTTGACAAAGGGAGTTTGAGTTCAAAAGAAGGTCCTCGTGGTTGACTTGTGGTCCAAGAGGAGGGGATCATGGAAACAGTGGTGGCACCTCAGGGCTTAGGTGTTCCCTGGTCATAGAAACAGTGGTGGCACCTCAGGGCTTAGGTGTTCCCTGGTCATGGAAATAGTGGTGGCACCTCAGGGCTTAGGTGTTCCCTGGTCATGGAAACAGTGGTGGCACCTCAGGGCTTGGGTGTTCCCTGGTCATGGAAACAGTGGTGGCACCTCAGGGCTTAGGTGTTCCCTGGTCATGGAAACAGTGGTGGTACCTCAGGGCTTAGGTGTTCCCTGGCACCCCTGGCTGAGGCTGACAGCTTCTCAGAAACACTTACACAGTCAAAGAGAATAAGCGCAGAACCCTATCAATACACAGCAAGGCCTGAGTCGGGTCGTGCCTCATCCATGACAATGGCCTTGGCCGCTGACAGGAGAGCGTCATGCTGACTAACAAAATGCCTATGGAAGTTTCCCCGACACTGACCTTCCTTTTTGTTTTGTACAGAATGTTTTGCATTTCTTGACATGGGAAAGAGGACGACGGTAATGCAAAACACGATAGCCTCGAGCAGAAAACCTCACAGCGATTTAAGCTCAGTATTCCTCTGCGTTGTTTTGACTTGCTCGAATTTGACCATAGTCACATTTTTGCTGACTGGGTGGAGCTGATTTCCAGCTTTGTCTGTACCTGACAGAAATGACCCTCTGCCTTTGACTTCGACGGCTGATTCCCAGAAGGTTCCGTATTATGAGTTTTTATCTCATTCGTAAATGGAAGCAAAGCAGGAGAAACGTCCACATTGCCAATGAGAAACAGATCCTCTTGGCTCATGCTGGATTTGCTTAACATTTATAATCCACCATGGGTGATTTTTGCATTGGACCATGAGCTGCAGAAGCCATAATGCTCTGGACAAACCTACACTATACAAATGAAGAGTAATTTATTCTAGAATGAAGCAAATGATTTTGTGTGTACAACAAAATGGTGTATAAAGGCATAATTTACATTGTTTGAAACTAGCTTAGCAACAGTAATACAAATTTAATTTTCTGACCAACACATGCATTTATGACCAAATTTTGTAAGTCTGGCAAAAACGCACACCTGGAGAGAGCGATCTTTGAAGTAGAATGTACAAATTGTTGTTTAAAATAAAAGAAATTGAGTACGAAAGGCTGAAATAAAGCTGTAAGCACAGTCACAGTCATGCCTAGGCTACCGTAATTTTCGTATAATGACTTGGAGCAAAGTTCATTGGAGCAGAACTAAAAGAGGAGTGGATGCATTTTTCTGTTTTCATATATTTAAATTACAGTTACATTACATTATTGCATCATTGTCCAAATTAGTGGCATATTTTTTCCTCATAGAATTCAGTATTCTGCTGAGGCAGCTTTAAGCAACTTCATTCAATGATGCATTAGCTGGTCACTCCTACTTGCCACATTTCAGTCACATGGCTGATTCTCTGCATGGTGTTCCTGGTGAGCATGTGTGTTCCAGGTATGTATGTGTGCAGTGAACAAGTCCACACCTGCACGGGGCTGTCAGGACCTGTATAGTCATCACACATATAAGTGGGTAAACTGACAGACTAAACGTTTCATCCAGGTCACGCTTGTGCAATGCTTGAGTTTTTGGCAGTGGTCTTTGGTCAGTCTGTCTTGTAGACGCCCTTCTTCTTGCCACCAGTACTCAGAGAAGCTAAGACTTGTTTTTTTTTTGCTGTAGAATGTGGAATCTAATTTGTTTCATGCTGTTACCGTAGCAAAGGAATAGGGTCTCAGAATTAAGTTCTCATTGTCAGTGTGTAGCTAAGTTAGCCTTGGGTGTTAGATTCCCCTTGGTGTGCGATCTAGTTAGTCCCGGGTGAGAGATCCCCCTCAGGGGGCGTCACCTGGCTCGTCTCCACACAGATGAATGACATTCTTAGCCCCAGGGTTAAATTTGTATGAGGTGAGCCAAGAGAATGAGAGATGAAGACATCAGACTCTCCTGGGCTGACATCTATGTGCGGGGAAATCGTTAACATGCTGCGCTGGATGATGAGGGACGGCTTGTGCTTCACACAGGCCGCGTGACTGGCAGGCGTCTTATTGGCTGTCCTCAGAATAAGCAGCTGATGGTAGGCGGTGCCTATTCGTCTATGGTTGGTGAGAGTTAATTGGTGCCCTGGCTATATCGGCATTGCATGTAGATGCAGGCGCAGTCAGTGCATTGAAACGCAGTAGTACTGAAATTACTGTAGTCGTACCTGTAGTCCTACCCATTGTACTGTTGTAACATCCATACAGCTGTATCAGAGAACACAAGTCCCAGTATAACAACATTAATAACTGTAGCATGACAGCACCATGTTCAGGAGTTCAGACCCCATTCCTGGCTCCACGTGTGGGTGTAACTTGCTTTTTTTTCTCCTATGATTTAGTAAGTTTCTTCTGGGCACTGCAGTTTCCGCCCACAATCCAAAAATATGCTGTTTGGTGAATTGGTGTATTTTTTTTGTGCTGGCTGGGATGGACTCCAGGCTAACACTGTAACCCTGCCTTGAATAAGCAGTTTCGGGAGATAAATGGGTTATGATAGTTGCTCTCTTTGTTGCTGACATTCACTCGCTTGGCCGCACAGCAGCTCTTACCCGTTTTTGCAGCTGCTTGAGGCACTACAGCGGGTCCCTCCTTACAAACCCTCAGCTTACTTTTCATGTCCTAACACTATGATAGCAGGTTTTTCCATTAGCTCCACCCATTCCAGCTTAAACGGGGTCTCTCGCTGTGTTTCTGACTCTGTCAGCTCCTCCCTTGCATTTCCTTCCTTACCCAAACTAATCCCATCCGGTATTTTAGCCTACAGCTGGAGCTGGATTGATTGGTTTATCTAATGCCGGCTGTTGGAACGTGTTGGAACAGTACAGTATCTCTTGATTAGTCACGATGAATCGGATACATCCATCGGATGTCACATCCTACAGGAATACCTTCTGTGAATGCAGCTACTGTGATGTGGATCATAACTGATGCTGTAGAGTAGATGCTAAAGATTTTTTTTAAGCTTTTGCCATAATTAAGAGAGCTTTTTCTGCTGTGATAATTGGTGCTGGTGGGTTGTTTAGATATGATTTCTGGAGGCCTGACAATGTTCAAGAAAATATCTCCCACAGCGTGAGACTTTACTCACAGTCAAAACCAACAATTAAGCTGATTTTTGCATTTTTTTTGTGCAAATGTGGACTCACACTTTCAACCTTCACACTTCCTTTTTCACCTAAGAGACCCGTCTCTCCTCATCATCCTCCATGCTGCAGGAAGCACCAGCTGCAGCTTCTCCTGGAGGGGCGTGGCCAGAGGGCGGGGCTTAGACCAGAGCTGCATGAGGCCAGCAAGCTGCTAGGCGAAAGCCTGGGGAAGACCCTGCTCAGCTACCCCTGCCTGGACAGCCCTGTCGAGGGCACAGAGGTCAGATCTCCTGGGGCCCGGTTGCATTAAACCTTTGGTTCACCTCATCTTAGTTTAAGGTGTTAGCCATAGGTGGAAATTAGCGGGAGAACATTTCAAACTGGATTTAAGAAAGCACTTCTTTACACAGCGTGTAGTCAGAGTATGGAATAGTCTTCCTGATAACGTAGTGCAAGCTGAATCCTTGGGTTCCTTTAAATCAGAGCTAGATAAGATTTTAACAACTCTGAGCTATTAGTTAAGTTCTCCCCAAGCGAGCTCGATGGGCCGAATGACCTCCTCTCGTTTGTATAGTTCTTATGTTCTTATGTTCTTAAAAGCAGCCCTACAGTATATCGCATTATGATGATAATTCTGAAGCATACAGCTCTGGTCCTCAACACTTAGAACCCTGCCTGTCAAAATGAAGTTAATCTTGATTCAATGTGTTGATACAAATCGCAAATTAAACATACTTGTAAGTGTATCATTTTAGAACAAAAGAACAAGCAGATGAAATAGGATTCTCCTGTAGGGATGCCAGGGTAAGAACTTCAGAGACCTTAAAGTAACTGCTTCTTCAGATCAGTCCGCTGAGGTGGTTCCGGGATCTCACAAGGCTGTTCCTAAGTGAGCTGTTCCTGGCATGTTCCATAGTGGGTCATAGACCCAGGATACACTGGGGGGGTTATATCGCCCTGCTAGCTTAGGAGCACCTGGGAATCCCCCAGAAAGAGCCAGAGACTGAAGCCTTGGAGAGCCAGTGGTATAGACCAGTGTTTCTGAACTCGGTCCTCAGGGACTCCAGAGGGTCCACATTCTTTACTCTTAGGGAGCTGGGAGGGTGCAAAAATGTGGACCTATGGGTGTTCCTGAGTAGTGGGTTGAGAAACACTGGTATAGACTTACTAGGTGTGCTGCAACCAGAAGATAGTTTGTATGATACACAAAACTGTGAAAGCTAAGCATAAGGACGAAGCACTAGAGACCTGTGGTTCATCAAAATAATGAAAACATTCTCTGGAAAAGGCCTCCTGAAGCTGTTGTGCACCATTCAGAATCTTCTGGGTCCCAGGTTCACCCATCAGTACTATTACGTCAGTTGTTTTGAGTTGGCATCTGTCCTCACAGCGCTGAGGCTGCCAGAACTCACTGTCCTTACAGGCAAGAATTTGAGCCTTGGAAGGGGCTGTAACGGCTGCAGGCCCCCCCCCCCCCCCCATAGGGACACCATGGACTCTCCTCTTTCATTTATCCATCTCGTTCTGGATGGTATTTGGAACCCCTCCCAAAATACTTCCCTCATTCCTGTCATGGGTGCCTCTGCTCTGCTGGCAAATAGGTTTTGGGATTTTCACTCCTGGGAGCTTGGTAGCGCCAATCAGGAGGTTCGAATCGCGTGATAATGCTGTTCATGTGACCTACCAAGTACAAGCCAATATGCCGTAGTGTTGTGTCTGTTGTATTCGATCTGAAGCAAAAATAAACCAAGGAATTCTCCTTCCATTGCTTTCCATGCGATAAGAGGGTCATGCTCCTTTAAGAAAAGCAAAGCAGTAAAGAAGTCCCATCAGCGCACTCTCTCCAAACATCCACAAGAGCACACTCCCCAGAGCACACTCCCCAAGCGCACACTCCCCAAGAGCACACTCCACAAAAGCAGACTCCACATCCAGCTCTGTGACACCCCAAGCTGACGCTTATAAAACACTAACAAGGTGAACATCTTACTCTGGCTCTGCTGCCTTTCATTTCCAAGTGGAGCAAATATGTCTGTCTGATGGATTGCTAATTAGTCAGCATTGAGATGCAGCTGATCAGTTTAACCCAACTTTCTTCTGGTTGATCCTTCTATATATGTGAATTAACATGATAGAAGAATTATAGCTTGCCCTAAGCTGATTTGGTATCATTTAAATTTGGGACACATTTGATCAACATATTATGACTTAAGAGCTCAGCTAGGACCACATTGCCAACCTGTTTGAGAATATTGCTATGCAAACTTCATTCTGTCCTCTACCACAGGAGGGTGCTGTGGAGTCAGGGGAGAAGACTGCGATAGCCCGGCAGTACCTGCGTGAGCTGGTCCATAGGGTGTCTGAAACCAGCCTGAAGGGTGATTCTCTGCAGAGGCTGTGGCCCTCCCTCTTAAGGGAGATGGTGCAGGATTGTGTGATTAAGATGAAGAACCTCCCTGCTTATCAGCAAGCTTGCCTCAGCAGACTTTCTCATGGCCAATGAGCAGAGACGACCAACATCTTCAGCGTAGATCATACTCTTTAACCACACCTCCAATCCATCCACCTCCAACTGGACCAGTTCTTCTAAAATATATTATCTGTTTGCTAAAATGGATCATCTCACCCAACTTTACTTAACAGGCTGATGAATTTGACAATTGCTGAACTGCATACATTAGCAATAGCAATAGTTTCTTATTTTGGATACTTCATATGAAAATAAGTACAGTATATATGGGATCGGGTGTATTCTTCTAGGGACAGCAGAAACACTGCAGAATCCAATTCTCATAATTCATTAGAATTTATTTCTCAGAACCTCCTTCCGCAGTACAAAAGTATAAACATTTTAGTTGGCTTGAAAATAATACTATATATCCCCAAAATGTACAAAAATATACATACCCATGAATTAAATGACTCTGTCTGCAATCTTTAATAACAGTTGTTGAATGCTTGTGTTTTTATGGAGCATCTGCATTAGTTATCAGCTATGAGTTGCTATGATGGGTCCCGGTTTAATGGTCCACCTCAGGGGTGATGCTGAAATGTGATGCTGAATGTATAGATTGTATTTTTGGCAAACTGAGGTTCTCTGATGCTATAAAGCAGGCAGTCTAGGTTCTGCTTCTGGCTGACTGGTGTATTTGCAGGTGTTACAGCTCTTTGTGAACCAGTAACAGCCAAGGACAATTTCGGTAGATTGGGAACAAAATGAATTCACTTGAGTGTTGTGGAAGACTTGAGAACAGCTCTTCTATACTTTTATGGGCTAATCTTGTCAATATTAGTTCTTACACACGGATATAAATTGAGCTGAAAAACAACTGGTCCACGTTGTTAATAAAAAGGCTTATTACCAACTCACCTTGACTTTAAACAGGAAACACATTCAGTTTGCATTAAATCTAATGCACTGCAATATCTCCTTTACATCATAAGAGGGCAGCACCATTAGAGGCAGCACTGGACTAGATAGAGGGGGATGTATTCTAAACCTGAGGGTGCATGTGATTTATTTTGAACGTTCGGTTAACCCAGTGATTCCCAGTAATGTTTTTTTTACTTGAAATTAGAACTAATGAATTTCTGATAGTGAGTATTTGGTTCATATTGTTTGGTAATTTTTTGCACATAATCATTCATCCAATCAGACATGGTTAGTTTAACCTGTTTTGCACATTAGTGCCTCATTGACTCTGTAGGACAGCCTGAGAAATGTGTCTCCTTACTGACATTGGCCCCTTGCACACCTTACCACGTCAAAAGGAGGGACTCCCAGTCCTCCCAGAAAACATTTATGGTGCATTTCCAGAATTTTCCATTAAGGTCATCTACCCCATATCTCTGCGCCAACCAGTGGAACACCCCCTGCCTTACACACTGGCAGTGAGAGGAGTCTTCATCTTCTGCTGCAGAATTGCAGTGCACCGACTGCTCCCATTCAATCACTTTACACTGCTTTGGGGATTGCCTACATTTCCAGTAGGGGGTGCTCTTCTATGGGGTGCATTAGCAAAAGTCATTATACTTGTCTACTCTGTTTTCCTACATGACACAAAGCACACCAGTGTTGCTAATGGAAAGGCTAATCTGTTCTCTTCTGAATGTTATTGGGAATTGTTAGAACATGTCAACACTATTTTAAAATCTCATGTCATCTACCTACAGTACTGTGCAAACGTCTTAGGCAGTCAAAGAAAATTATGTTTAAATGATGTTCATTTTGGTGTAAAAGTATGATAATTTGTCTGTCAATGTGTCAGCTTAGACATTTAAAAAACTCTCTTAAAATCCCCCTACTATTTGCAGCAACCATCCAACACACTTGTGTATTTTTTTTACTCGACTATACCCTTGCCTTATTTGGCTAAGCAATACCCCATTAAATTATTTAACTAATTAGGTTAATTAATTAATTGAGCTAGTGGTGAAGTTTAACAAATATATATGATGGCTGAGGTGCCCCCAAGGAGAGCTTTGTGAACCAAAACGGTATTTATCCAACTACCCAACAAATTATCAATAACTTTTTGGAGAACAGAAGAAATTCTTGCTTATTTTTTATTGTGTTACTGATAAATTGTATCTGTTCTAATGTTACTAATTGTTTCTTTTTCTGAGCAAATATACACTTACTACCCAGATAAATAGCCTCAACAACACTTTTGCTCAGTACTGTATTTAATGATGAAACACTGTGTTAGACTCTGAAGTCTAAGTCTAAATGCAACCCGGTGGTGAGTAAATGGACAAAGCTGAAGATCATCATCAGCGTTGGATTCCTGGTCCGAGATTCCATGTGATGGAAAGGAGGTCAGAGGTTCTCCATCACGGCCATACAAAGCTGTCGCGATGTTCCAAACTACTTCCAATTTCTGCTTATGTCTCTTCTTGACATCAGCAAACACCAGCCCTTCTAAAAGTGGCTCTTCAATGAAAATGACTCTACATTCACCACAGACAAGCACTGAACAGATCTGCTTACTGATGCACAGTGACCTGACTCCATCACCGACCTCCATCGAACCAAGACCATCATACCCCTACCCTAACATTACATGCTAAAACCATCATTTACATGCCCCATCCTCTTTATGTCATTTTACCACCCCTCCAACCCTTGTCACAACGTTGTTTGGTTTCAGCACCTGTCTATTGAAGGGATGGATGCCAAGGAATGTTTCTGGAAAGAAACTACATTCCATTTCTTTGGGAAACACATACTATCTGTCATAGACACAGATTAATTAAAATCAGTTGACTTCACTGCCTTATGCAGTGTAGGCAGTGACAGTGAGTAGCACCATCCCTAATCCCCCAAATCCCCTCACGGCATCGGAGGAAGAACAGCCCTCAGGTGAGACGGCGCTATTTAAATAAAGGAACTGCTCACGTTCCAGTTGGGTACCCCTGTTTAAACGAATCCCAAGCAGAGGTGGTGTATTGATTTTCAGAAAGTAAAAATTCAAATGAAAATTTTGTTTAAACTAACCAGTTGAGTCCTCTGTGACTCTGACTCTTCATACTCAACTGGTTGGATGAAACAAAATCCTGGTCTGGATTTTTACTTTCTGAAAATGAACTATCCACCTCTGGTCACAAGCAACATTTTAGACCCCTATTCATGTAACAGTGGTATGTTTTATGGTCTGATATACAGTGTTGTTTTGAGCCAATCCATTGTGTGCTAGCTCTGCTCCTCAGTGCTGGAAACAAACATGAAAGCAGACCAATGTGTGATGCTTTACAGACTCAAAAAGGACAATGTGTCCATTCTTCTGGTCTTGAGTATCTGACAGTGCTAAGAAAATATGTATAGACAACAGGGGTAGGCAGCCCTGTTCCTGGAGTGTCAGTATCCAGGTTTTCTGTCCTCCCTGATGAGTTACTATCTGCCTGAGATGAGGTGTGGTTCACCAGAGACCAGGTAGGACAGAAAACCAGCTGGATGCCCCCAATAGCAAGTTTAAGACTAGAATTAGTGACCATTAAATGACATGATGCTGTGCAGCTAGATAATGTGCAAGTTTATATTATATTATGAACCATTTTGTTCTACATGTTTTGTGCTACTTGCTTTATATAAATCAGCTATAAACATTTACTTCATGAAATAACTCCTGTGTTTACAACTGTGCCTGTTTATGGGTCTGCGAACTACCAGAATGTATAAAGGTTTGAATGGTTTTAGATATATAATCCATATGTTTTAAGAAGTTTGGATTTATTACGGCCATTTAAAATGCTACATGTTTTTGGCAGCTGAGGTGTTCGTAGCCTCCTGTGAGGTCATGTACTGTAAAACTGTGAAGCTTATTTATAGCCTGGCAGAGTGCTGTTGAAGGTGCTAACTTATAGCTAATGAGCGTGTATCTGCTGTTCATTGGTGTGTTAGAGGTGGACCTGGGGCAGCTGTGGACTACTGTTGATGTAGAGCAGCGTTTGCCAGTCCGGTCCTCGGGGACCCACTGCCAGTCCATGTTTTTGCTCCCTGGGAGGGAATAAAATCACGGACTGTCTGTGGGTCCCTGAGGACTAGATTGGGAAACGCTGATGTAGAATACTAGAGTCCTGCTGAAGAGAACTATAGAAGAGCACCTTCTAGGGCTGGAACCTGGAACCTTCGATATACAAGCCTGTGATGCTATCGCCTTCAAGCCCAAACTATCCCTGCTGCTTCTCTTTGGTATTCATGTTGTTGTCCAGGGTGCTGCACCAATTAAACTAGCTGTCAGGCTCATCTATAACTGCTTTGGCTGGGTAGGATTTACAGAACAACTCATGGGAAAGTTGCTTTTTCAGTTCTTATCTTATAATAAATAACGCTGATGTATCTGATGGGATGAAATATGAAATCAGTTAAGACTCATTGTTCCCTTGGTCTCTTTGGCCGAATTGCAACAGTCAATGGGCAGACCATTGTTTTTTCTTACCGCTCTTGATTATCTATATTAAATGGCACATCGGTACACTGTGTACTGCTGTTTTGAACAACAGTGGTGGGGTTTGAATTTTACATACACTGCTGTACTTCCCCTTCATGTAATAGCTTGTGCATGTTTGCGATTGATAGCCTTGTGCCCTGTGCTGCCGGGAACAAACTGCAAGACTTCCACGACCCTAACCAACGTGACTGGTTGGAAGATGGATGCCTGCAATTTTCTATACTGAAAGTTCAAACAAAATTTAGTATGTCGTAGACAGCAAATTGAGTCAAGAAATGACACAAAATTGACCGCCGTCCTCTTACACTCAATAACACCGCTTCAGCAGTAATCTCTGTCACCTCCTGTAGTCACTAATCTTTCTGAGTGTCATCAAATAATTTTGCTCGGCTCCTTGCTGCACAATTGTGTGACATTTTCTGATTTCTGATTGTGATCCACCTATTACAGGTCTTGCCACATCTATTTCAAAAAGGAAAATCTAAAACATTTATTTTCTTGTACTTCGACGATTCTGACATTGCCTTGTTAGTTAATTTTGTTTCATGTCCTGCTTCAGCTCATAGATGGATGTCATGTTGTTCTCAACCACAATTTTACGGTTTCGTCAGTGATGGAAAGTCACCCAGGTCTTGTTGCAGCAAAGCATCCTGAATCCATGACATCACCACCACCATGCTGCACTGGAACGCCGGTGGCTTTTGTGCTCACCAGTCATAATGGACACGTGACTCCAGAAAAGTTCCACTTGAGACTCTGTTCATAGCACATTGTTCCCAGGATAATACAGCTGATAGTTCCTGGTCCTCTAGCCTCAGGAATGGCATTTGGGTACAAAGTTCCAGGTACTGATGTCACAGAATACATTATTTATTTTGTGATTAATTGTCATTGTTGACACACCACAGCACACAACAACGAAATGTGTTCCCTCCATTTAACCCATATGTGACATAGCAGGGGGCAGCTAATTCAGCGCCCGGGGAGCAGTGCTTGGGGGCGGTATCTTGCTCAGGGTACCTCAGTAGTGCCTTGCTGGTGGAGGATTCGAACCTGCAATCTTTCAATTACGAGTGTGTTTCCCTAATCATTAGGCCACCACTGCCCATTAGCTGTGTAATATGAGATGCATGATTGAATTGTCATACCTGAACATTTGTTCTTTGCTGGGCATCACTGGGTAGAACTGAGCAAACAGCAGTCCACTCTGCTTGGATGGATATTGCAGCATGGACAGTAACAATAAATTGAAAGAAACGTGTACTGATCTTCTCTCTTCCAGAGACAGCCTGAGTATTGGACATCGCCGCTATTGTATTAAAATATAATATAGACAATGCAGCTTCGAACCCAGAAAAGCTTCATATCTGAGCTTTAAGTCTCTCCTCAGCTTAAACTATTCACTCCAGCCTGTCAAAAACAATCCCTCCAGTTTCTAAAATGAATGCTCAGGCGTCATAAAAAGTGCTGCGCTGTTATTGTTATTGTAATAAAGCTGATTGAGCGATAGTGACAATGTGATTCAATCTCTTTGTGCTTAACAGAATTGTTTCCCATATAGCTGATGGGGGACCGCTTTCCAATGGGTGGGGTGCCCTCTGACACCCCTGTTCTGAATATGAAATTCCATGACCATTCAAGGCTTGCTGTGACAACTGTTTGGCTGTTTTTGGATGAGTAACAGTCTGCTCAGCATTATGGTACAGCCAGGAGAAGTTAATGGTAACCAGCTGCTGTTTCTTATACCATTGTTGTGTTTTACTGGTCTTATATTTTTGTTTCTTTTTATTTAGGTGAGGTATTTCTCCAATGTGAATTACATAGTTTTGTATTTGAGTAAATATGAAACTTGTGTTGGGTTGAGGAAACTGGAAACATAGTGATTTTTGCACTTGAGGCAGTGTGTCTGATTTCTGTGTTTAGGCATTATTTTTAATGGATTTAATTTCCATAAGCTGCCAGTTGCTTTGACTCCTGATTTTCTTTCATGACCAGGTAGAGACAAGCATTGACCTTGACTGCTGTTGTGATGTGTATATCTTCTGTTGTCGTGAAGATATGTCATACTGCAGTCATATTTATTTTCCTGTGGTAATGGCCACCCAGGGAACATGTCTCTTTGTATGTAGCTCCAAAACCACATTCACCTAGTTACCATTTTCCAGTCATTTCCAGGAATAACCAGGAGAGTTCACTGGGATCAGCTAGCCTCCATTTAACACTCTTGACCGAAACAGCAGTAAAAAAATACGCCTGGGCAAGTCTACTGATATTTATCCAACCATTTGCCAAACACTTATCCCGTATCCTGGTCAGAGTCCCGGGCTATTGAAATTTAATTTAATTGTATTTATTTGATTGGTAGTATCAGAAATACTGAGACCCTCAATACCGATTAATTGAAAGGTATATTATATCAAACATGCAGCCTGAATATTTTGTTTAGAAACTCGATACCGCGGCCTTCTCACGCTTACTCTCACAAGGGGGCTGAAACGGATTTAGAGACAGGAGGCGCAACGGCTCCGCTTCTTTCCGCGGTTCCCAGGCTTTTTCTGTGTTGAGCAAAGCAGCTCTTCTGAACCCGATCGACCGAGTCTACTGCAGCAGTACAGCGCGCGCTGCACGCAGTGGCAAGTTTAAGTTTTAACATTTCATTTCGGAAAAGGTTTGCAAACACTGCATACATCTTCGGTGGATTTAACTGCACGCGGAAAGACGGTGCGATTTTCTTTTTTCACCTGGGGCTTGAAGAAGACATCTACACTACCTATCCAGTTCAGGAAGGTATTGCAATTATACTTTGTATATAACTATTTTTTTTTATTATTATTGAAGACAAAGTATTGCGGTTTTTTATAGTTTTCGTTCACTTATTTCATTATTCTCCGATAATAATCTGATTCATTATAAAGCGTATAATTTTTGTTGTTACTATTATTTGTTTTGTTATATGTATGGAATCAGTGAACTGAGTTCTTTGTTCTATTAGTTTCTTAGTTAATACACACACACTTTATATAGGATAAACAAAAGCGCGAATGAATGTGAATTATAACTTATTCGCGATATTGAAAGTATTCTCTAAGAGGAACACTGCAGTCTAACATATAACCCCTAGGCCTATTGGTCCGTCAGTCTACTCTTCTACTAAATAATTGCATTTTCTGGGTACAGGTGAGGATACAAGATTACATATTTCTCCGTGTGTCGAATCCAGTCCCTTTCGGTCGCTCTTTGTCCACTTGAACATATTCTTTATCCCATCAGGAACAGTGCGGCTTTAGCACTTGCAGAAGTTTTCTGAAGTTGTCTGAATCTCTGAAATGCACAGCCCAGTTGTCAAAAGACATTCAATATATATTTGGAATGATGCATAGACCACGCATCAAGGAAATCGATATCCGCAGCTTCCCGAGAACTGCAGTAGATAATGACGGCGAATTTAATTGCACGGGTTTCGTTTTCACGCGTTATTATGTGCAGCACAGCAGCTTCCCGCATCGATGGGGGTAGTGTTTTAAAATTTGGCCCCTACACTGCGCACAGCCGGCGTGTTTTGTGGTTGCTGCGGTTTCCTCCCACGTTTTAATGACATGCAGTTCAGCCAAACTTGTGCCATTAAATTGGCCTTGGTGTGCAACTGTGTGACTGAATATCATACCCTGTGACGGGCTTCTCGCATTCAGACTGTACCAGGCCAGGTAGCTTTGGAATAAAAAGCATCATGTTGTTTCATTTAGGGAAAAAACGTCTGATACATGACGCATAGCATCACGTGAATAAGCGCGCATTTTCTAAAGTTCCTTAAACGACTGGGTGTATGCTTCGCTGAACTTAAAATCGCAGACCTCTGTGAAATCAGTGGTTAACTGGAATGTGATATAACGAAATAGATTAATAACGTGTTCAGTTTTTCATTTTCCCTATCATGGAAATTTTAATGTTGAGACACAGAAGGTGTTTCTGTTCTATCTTAAATTTGATATAGGAAATTTTATTGCAGCTCTTGACTGTGGGTCATACAGTTTCTGTACTAGGAGGGTGTCCTTTATCATTTGTCTGATGAGGTCAAGATAGATGCAGAAACCACATAGAAATTATGTATTGTCTAGAACAGGGGTGGCCAATCTTATCCGCAAAGGGCCGGTGTGTGTGCGGGTTTTCGCTGCAACTCCCTAATTAGATTACTAATTAGAGGACTGATTGCTGAAGAGTCCTCACACCTGGGTTTGAACAGCTGACCTACAGGTTATCCCAAAAACTTGCATACACACCAGCCCTTTGCGGATAAGATTGGCCACTCCTGGTCTAGAATGTAAACCCTGAAGAGCTAATATAGCTAGTTATTCAGTAATTAGGATGAATGAATTCAGAGGAAAACTGAAATTCATGCTTTTCATACCCTCACATTCATTAAATTAGTACACATTAACAATATTTAAGCAACATGTAACTTTATGTACTTACATTAATTTAGAAGACACTTATCCAAAGAGACATTTGTTTTTGAGCAAGCAAGTTCACACTGTCCCTGGAGCAATTTGGGGTTAAGATCTTTGCTCACAGACACAATGCTCAAATCACTTTACTAACCCGGGGATTTAAACCAGCAACCCTCCGATTACAGGCTCAGCACCCTAGCCTGCTATGGCACACAGTGCCACCAAACTGCAAAGAGCTGAGACTTTATGTGATACGGGATGCCAAGATAATGCGTAAGGGGGAAAAAGTGGTACGAGAGGAACAGCCCTTAAACATGGCACCCGCAGTGGTGTGTGGCTCTGTGAGTTTGGACCTGTGATTGCAAAGTTGCCAGTTGAAATCCTGAGGCCAGTAGCCACCAATGGGCTCCTGACTAAGACCCTTAACCCCTGGTCGCTCCTGGGTCACTGCATGCCAGCTGACACACAAGCTTCCTGTGACTGTCTCATAAGGAGCAAGACAGGAAGACGTGAAAAGACATTTTCCCCATGGGGATCAATAAAGTATCACTATTCAGTATTCAGTATCCACTGTTATAAAATGTCTGGATTAAAGATCGTATTTCAGTCTGATTTGTTCACTTTTATCCCCCAAGAAAAATGGCGGCACCATTCCAAGTCAACAGCTGCCGGTTAATCCACTGTAATCGTTTGACGTCCTGTTTGTGTTCGTTAACGGAGGAAACCCATTTGGCAGATTTAAGGCTTGACATTTCACTGTTCTACATTGTATGTGATTCTGCTGTTTACATCAGAATCTGTTTTATTAAAGTGTGCAATTAATCCAGTAACACACTTGAATTTTTTTTTAGTAAAACAGTCTTTTTATAAAAAGATACTGTAAATGTTTACTTTTAACAGTGTTTGTGTACACAGTAATGTAACACAGCCCATTAAGCTCCTCCCATATGTCTGTAAGGATGATGTACAATGAACAATAACAATGCATGAAGACAAAATGAATACAAATCACATTATTCTCCCATATTTATGTGGTTATAACAGTTAAATGAACCCTGATATTATAAATAGGAAAAATACACAGAGAATGACTAAATTACTACTCGGGTAAAATTGCTAGTCTTGTTCTATTGCTCGTTTTGAGTACTGCCTTTTAATGCCTCTCTTTCTGTGACATAAATCAGTAGTTATGAAAATACAGTGAAATGCAGTTACAGTGAATGTGATGAACTGAGCCGTGCCTTTTCCCTGTTGATTTTTCTATGTACTAAAAATGGTAGTTTAGTCAATAATGATTTCTCTGGTATTCCAGGACACCCCTTTCAAGTAAGAATCCTCCTGCTTGCGGGTGCTGGTTCCTGGTGTCCTTAAGCAATGATAGAAATCTCTGTGTGGACACTGAGGTAGGAGAGGATGAGCCTCAGTTGGTCACATCTGCATGTTTTTAAGTGTCTTTTACTGTTCCTCCAGTCAATGACCCTGGACCCCTGCTTGATATTTAACTCAGAATGAAAAATGATTGGAGAGATAACCAATCAGATTATGGAGGAGGTGGGTCCAACCAATCAGATGTCTTGGTCTGTATGCTGAGTAAATGAGTCGTAATGGTATTCAGCACGCAAGCTGCTTGGACCCACCTCCTCTACAATCTGATTGGTTATCTCTCTGAACCAATCATTTTTTATTCTGCCCTCAGAACATTTTTGTGCTAGTAAAACTCCCACAAGCTGATAGCTATGGCATTTACCATGTTTTTTCCCCCAAAGTTTACCACAAAGTATTCAGGAATTCTTCGTTGTCTTGTTATTGTTTTGTATCTTTAATCCTATGTGCGCGACCTCATCGATGTGGCGTCCTCCACAGAGCTCTCATGCTTCTGGTGCTCATGTGGCCAAGCTCACTGGAGTGTCAGCACATTACAGTTCACACGAAGGTATGTGGAACATCTACAGGTACAGTGTGGTGTTTTCAATGATTCTGGCTTGACTGAGGTATAACAAAAGGTGGATCATGATATTGTTTCTGTCGCTGTGAAATAACTGAGGTCAATTAAAAGGTGCAATATTATGTTGTCAGTCCCTGTGACATAATTAAGCCTTTTGCAGTGAATTTGATTACTCTTTGTTGTTGTTGGATTCTCTCTGGAATGTATTCTAGCTTATGAGCTGACATATTTCCTAATACTGAGCTGGTTAGCAAGTCAAGGACCAGGTACCTGGTTTTGGGCTTGGTGGGGAAATACTATCGAACTTGACATTCATCCAGAGGTATTAAAGCATCCCTCAAACAAGTCTGAGCAAATCCAGCTGTAGGACGTCATTCTCACTTTGTTCCGCCATTGCCTGTAAGGTCATCAGTTTGTTTTTCAATCGGTACCCAAAACGACTGGTCTTTGCTGCTTTATGAGTTTTTGCTCCTGAGTGAAAACGTTCTTGAGGGTTAATTCTGCCCACTCATTGGTGGGTTTGGTCAAATGCTGAGTCGTGCAAAGAAAGGTGCTGCCAGCTGTTTGGAGGGCATTCCCCTACCCCTGTCTACTTTGCCAGGATGATGATAGGTTAGAACCGGAAAGGGGGGCGGGCGATTGCTCCAAATGGCCAATCCTGTCAATGCTTGAAGCTTCCCCTCTTCTCTTGGAGTGACTTTTTACCAGCAAAGGAATCTCTCCTTGAACTGGCTGTCTGACCTACATCTGACCCAAGAGATTAAGGGCTCTGGTTACTAAGGTGCTGGGTTTGAGCACACTATGAATATCTAGGTATTTCTTTATAACAACCAGATATCTCCCCAACAACTGTAATCCACCCTGTCTCTAGTATTCCTTTACAGTCACCCAACAGCACAGTGTTCAGTACGCAGAGAACACAAAGAAACACAGAGAAGAGTTCTCGCTTGCTGATATGGACGGCTTGTCCTCAGCTGGATATCAGATCCACTACGGTGTCTGTTTTCACTTCTGGAAGAAGGTGATCTGAAAAGGAAACGCTGTAGAGATCAAAGTCCCCAAGACTGGCCTATTGCCCTACTGGTCTGTTCTCGACCGCTGAGATGTATAACTGGAACCACTAACTGCAGAATGGTCTCACAGCAGCATTTGATTCTCTGATGTAATGGATTTTATCTGACTCACCTGCCCTGACTTTCTCAGCAAGAATTGCAGTGACTTGCACTGACTCGCAGTTGCATCTCTTCGCAGGTTCCTACGAGGCCAGAGTACCAGCCGGACCGTGGAACCAGGGAGGGGGGGGTTTCAGGCTCCTGGGGTCCTTGGGGGCCGTGGGGGGACTGCTCACGATCCTGTGGGGGAGGGGTGCAGGAACAGACTCGCTCATGCCTGCTGATTGACGACGCTCCAGTCAACCATCCCCCAGGACGAGCCCCCCTCCCTCTGACTCCTGGTGGTGTAGTGCCCATGTTACACCCCTCTGGCCCCCTGCACCGCAACCACGTATGGCCTTCACACAATAGCACACGCCCTGGTTCTCACAGATCGATGGGGAGCCACCCACAAGGCCCCAGAAACCACCGCCCTGGACACAGGTGACGAAATCCCTTTTTTATTACGGCGCCCCCTACTGCACATGCAAGGAAATGTCGGATTTGTTCAGCTTCTGTCACAGGCTGACTTGAATGCTGAGCAGACTGAAGGAACAGACTTCTGGATCCTTCCCAGTTTAAAGTCTCGATGATAAATAGCCTCAGTGTCTCTGTTTGCACCCATGCTGCTGCCTCCTTCAAGCAAGAGCATTGAAAGGAGGTGCTTTATAAAAAGCTCTGACAGCCGATTAATGGGATTTTAATTGGGGGAAGTAAGGTCTGAAAAATGGCAGCCAGTGCATTCAGTACAGAAAATACCATTCAGCTCAAGGGCTGTTTTGTCACACTTGACTAATTGCACAGTCAAATATAAAAGTCTTTTTATAATGTAAATCAGGTTTGACCTTTATGACATATTCTGTCTGGTTGCCTTGTGTGAGTGGAAGTTACTGAGCAGAATGGATGGCAAGTGCCTGTATTTGTTGAGAATTAGACACTCCCCAATATTTGTAATTCAACGGTGTGTTACTTGAGGTGACAGGATGCTTCCTGTGCAGGGGGGGTCATGAACGCATCGTCCCGGGGAGGTACGGCTATGGGCGGATGCCGTATGTCATGCCGCTGCAGACGGACACCGGCCAGCAGCAGAGCCGCCCACGGGGCCGCAGGACGAGACAGGGATCCTCAGTAGGACACCAATCTAAGGCCCGACACCGGGGACAACCGTCGGGCTTCCCGCTGCAGACCCAGAGCCGTGATTTCAGTAGCCCCCAGCAGCAGCCCACTGGGTCTCAGCCCATGGCGGGGCCAGGGGGGGTCTCACTTTACCAGGCGCCTGGCTCCCAGCTGGGCTCCCACCTCGACAAAGGCCCGTCGGTGACTCGCAGTGGGCCGCCTTCCGCTGCCTGTCTTGGGCCCCAGAAGCTGCACCGGATGTGTAACACCAACGTAAGGACTGCAGCTTGTGTGGCGAATACCTTTCCGATTCATTTACTCGGCCTACAGCTAGCCTTTATATGATGAAGTAGTTGCTTAGGATTAATTCTCACGGTTTTTGAATATTGCTGATTTTTATCTAAGCTGCTTTCTTGGTAGCTAAGTAATTGTAACTTACTGTTAAAAATTAACATAAAACACAGACTAGGGACTGAAACTAGGCTGGCAGAACTATTACAACTTAGACAAGAGGATTAATACACTGAACTGAAGACTTAAGTCCCTAGAATAGGGAAGAAAGGCCAACTCTTGCTGTGACTAAAGCAGTGGGGACCTCATCATCCCTGATTATACTGATGGACACTAGTCAAAGTCAAAAGTCAAAGTAAACTTTATTGTCATTCGTACCACACAGTTTGAGAGTGCATGGTAGAACAAAATTGCGTTTCTCCTGGCTCCATTTGAAAAACAAACAGAAATACTACAGTATAATATAATACAGTATAATACAATATAATACAGTACAGTAAAATAATACAGGCTACACAAAATACACACAATACAACACAGAGCTACACAGAGAACAGAACTACACAGAGAGCTACTATTCAGCACAGAGGTAAATCTCATGCAGAGTAATAGTGCTCAAAGTTAAAATTACAAATTATTGCACAGTCAAATATTGCACAGTAATATTGCACTATATGAGGCTTTGGCTTGTTAGCCCCAAATGTTAGCATTTCCTGTAAGATTGTAACGATAAGATAGCAAAGAGTGCCATGCAAACAGAAATGGATACTTACAGGTTATCGTGATGTCTAAGAACTCCTCCAAAGATTCAAGTCTGCAAAACAAAACATCATTATAAGCAAGTCGTTTGTTTGAATGGGTTTGGCATGGAAGCTAAATGCCGGCGCTTCTGCTAAATCGTGTCAACAGCGGATTGTCGCATGTGCTTCTGCTGCCTGTCTGTTTGCCCGCCCCCAGGCCTGCCCCCCACCCGGCCGGCACATCAGGGAGGTGCAGTGTTCCTCGTACAACAGCCGTCCCTTCATGGGTCGCCTCTACCAGTGGGAGCCGTTCACAGACGGTCAGTGCGCTCATGTCGAGTCCCTCCCCCGCGATAACATGTCAGGCTCCTCTGGCTTGAAAATTGTACCATTTATTCCATAAGTCAAGGAAATCGATCATTTGGGAGCTAATTTGAAAAATGAATTGATGAATTGATCCCAGTGGGGAAATTCTCTTCTTGTCTACCTCATCTTGCTCCCCGTGACACACACAAAGAGAGTAAACTTGGCAGCAAAGGGCATCCTCCCGTGGCAGCGCCCAGGGAACTGGGTGGGGGTTAAGGGCCTCAAGGACCCGCAGACATGCTGAGGTCAGGCTTGAACCCGTGACCTTCTAATTATGGGCCCAGAGGCTTAGCCCCCTGAGCCCCACACCACCCCCAGCTTTCTAAAACTCAGTCCGTTTTTTATTGCTTTTGAGATGAGGCTGCCAGTGACCTAAAGTCAGGCTTCCTGATCATATGTTACAGTGCTGGAAAACAAAACTCACTCAGTCCCAGTGTAATCCAACAAGATACTTTTGTTTACTTTCCTAAACTCACTTTCCTAAAGTCACGGAAATTTTCTCGAAACTGTATTCCATGGACTGAGTGAGTTTTAGAAATGTGCACTTCAATACCTAGATAATCTCAAAACGATGGAAATTGTGTGATTGAATAATTAGTAAGATGAGGAGTGAAAGCTGGTGACGAGCCAGGAGGCTGACTTTGCCCGTAACCTAATCCATCCTTCTACTCTGTTGAAAAAAGTCTTCCACTGTATCACAATGGAATGCTAACACTGCTAACTGCTTTGAGCTGCTGTCAAACACTTTCCACATCCAGTCAACTAGTATCCAGGCTACAGCGGCAGTGACACGGTTCTTTTCCGACAGCCCTCTGCAGGGCCCCAAAGTGCATGTTTTTCTAGCTTACATAAAAGGGGCAATATTCTGATTTATATGTGAATAAACCCCGCCCCCAGAACCTCCCCCCCAGAAGCCCCGCCCCCTGATTGCATCAACAGGCAGGTGATGGCTTCTTGTGGCTCATCTCATGCCATTTGGCACGAACATACATGTGCGTGGGACATATATGCTGATTGCACGTCACAGTGAACCATCAGCTGTGAATCACTGCCATGCCTTCTGAATATGAAGAATATGGTGACCTAAATATGTACATGCATTCAACGATAAATCTGATCGTAGTCTTTTAATCAAATTTAAAGCCTCCTGATTTGCTCTGTCCGCTAACACTTTCAGTATAACACTGCTTTGCATTTCTTACCAGTTACACCAAAGTTTTTGCATCCCACTGGGTCTTACCGACAGCAGCAGGCCAGCAAGCGCAAGGCAGATAATTATTGGCACCATAAATAGCGTCGTGATTATCTTGCAGACTTAAGGAAGCAGGTGATTGGCTTGTACTGAAACCTAGGGTGTGAGATTCTAGTGTCAGCAGGTCTTTTCATTTCAGGTTCCAAAAGCGGGAGGTGGGAGGGTCTAAGGTCAGCCCCTGATGATTAATTGCCTGTAGTACTGTGTATTCTGTGAGTTCTTCATCATTAGGATTTGCTAAACAGTGTCTGGAATATCTGGTCACTGTTGCCATGCCAAAAATACATTGCCTTCAGCAAAACTCTGCTTCACAAGCCTCGACCGGCCTGGAAGAGGGCTGTCCTGTGTAACATCGCAGGGCCAAAGGCATTGAAAATGGCGAATAATGATAACAGGCTGCACGCGCACAGCTAGGAATCGATGATGATGTGATGACCGATCATCTGGCTTACACATTCTCTGGAACGTTCCGTCCGGTCCCACTGCCACAAAAAAGTAGCTATAAAATTTGAACGGCAATCAGGGGGGGATAAAATGGTAAAAATGGCTGTAAATTATGAAGGTTTAAAGAACTGAAACGTATCTGTGCCCCCCACCCGGATGGGGCACTTAAAATAAATCACTGCATTAAAACACACTGTGGAAAACGGTGAAAATGTGAGTCACCTTGGATGAAAGTGCAGGCCAAGGAACTTCAGTGATCCGTATAATTTCTTTTTATATGTCATACATGTGTATCTACACATATATAACTAAAATATATCCTCAGGCTAAAACTTTTTATGCATATATGTGCTGTTCATCTTTCTGTCTTCTTATTTAAGTGAAGGTTGTTGTGCAAATGTATGTCAGCTGTGAAAAGGTTTAATGTCACCAGCCACTGTTTCACCTCCAATATTACTTTTTGGCCAGATATTCACTTGAATGTGTATCCATGATATCAGGCAGGTTAAGTAGTTTCCTGGTTGGAACCTTATTCTGTCCCTAAAGTGTTGTGAGCACAAAGTCATATATTGTCCTGGCCTGCTGATCTACTTCAGCTGCACTACTTTAAGCATGTGACCCGGGGGGTGTAATCTGAATGGTAAATACCATTTTCACGGGCCAATCAGAGCTGCTGAACTCTCGGATGTGGCACTTGACCTGTGAGGATTCAGAAAATAACCACTGACTGCTTAAAGAACCCCAGAAGTCCTGCTCATTTAAGTCACAGTGCGGCACTAAATAAGTCAAGTAGTACATTGATTCTTGAACCAATGGATTGAGCTTCTGATGGTGGATGAAGGGAATTTTGCCACTTTCCAGGTGGTGAATAGACACCTCATGTTCAGCTTCTGAGGAACAGGCTCACATGATGAAAAGTCTGTTTCTGGCCACAGTTCTGTAAATGCATCCCTTCTC